ACAAAGTCAACGTATTGGAGTGGCCATCACAAAGCCCTGACCTCAATCCTATAGAAGATTTGTGGGCAGAACTGAAAAGGCGTTTTTGAGCAAGGAGGCCTACAAACCTGACTCAGTTACACCAGCTCTGTCAGGAGGAATGTGCCAAAATTCACCCAACTTATTGTGGGAAGCTTGTGGAAGGCTAACCGAAACGTTTGACCCAAGTTAACCAATTTAAAGGCAATGCTACCAAATACGAATTGAGTGTATATACATTTCTGACCCACTGGGAATGTGATGAAATAAATAAAAGCTTAAATAAATAATTCTCTCTACTATTATTCTGACATTTCACATTCTTAAAATAAAGTGGTTATCCTAACTGACCTAAAACAAGGAATTTTTACTAGGATTAAATGTCAGGAATTGTGAAAAACTGTGTTTAAATGTATTTGGCTAAGGTGTATGTAAACTTCCAACTTCAACTGTATATTGTAGCTAAAGAAGGTTTTACTGTCAATACTCATATCATGTTGTTAGTCTATCCTCTTGGTTTGAGTGCACATATTGAATGTTACTCTGGATAAGAGCGTCTGCTTAAATCGTTAAAATATATAATGTAACCTAACATGTTTGAGTATCATATCTGCCCAGGCAGCATACTGAAATACTGATCTATACAATGTTAACCACGGCATAGTGAATTATGAAAAGAACAATAATTGCAGTCGTATGCCTTCAAACCAACACATCTTTGCTGCATCACCATAACACCTTCCTGTGGAGAAATGCTGAATGTAACACACCTTCCTGTGGAGAAATGCTGAATGTAACACACCTTCCTCACACTAACACAACCAGTGAGTTCACAGAGGGACAGTAAACTGACTGAAATGTTTTAGTAATCTTGCGGTTTTAGTTTCTTTCTTTTTGAGGTTCCTCTGAGGATGTTGAGCAGTCAGATTATTAAAGCAGAACCTCAGTAAAATAGTACCACTCTTATCACATTTCAAAGAATGTCTGCTAATCACACAGACACACACACACACACACACACACCCTGATGTTAATCACTCCCCCAGCTGTAATGTGACCACCTGCTGGGGCTTTCTCCCTGAGGGGAGGGTCAGCCAGACACAGCGGAGTCACGCTCTGTGTGTGTGTGTCACCAGTCATCCTCATAACTTTATCCAACCCTGAGGACAGGTTTAACCCCACTCACCACCCTTTATTTTCACTGATATTGTCACTGTAGTACACTGTCAAAACGGGTTGTCTTTCCATTATGTTTTTTAATAGCAATACATTCCATCCCATTCCATCCCATGCATGACATTCCTATCCTAAAGGTGGAGGTCTGCTGTTCCCTGGAAATCAATTGAACTCCTCCCCCTGCATTTGTGGCCAGGGGGACTCAGAGTCATTGTGTTGTTAGCCAGATGATCTGAGACATTGTGACACAGGTCAATGTGTCGTTAGCCATTACAGCATCGATGTTGACCGACACACATCATTTTCTTCTTTCCTCTCATCACCAGTATTCATCTGTCCATCACTACTTTCAACAGAAAGAGAAGATAGTCACTTCCTGTTTCCCCTCTGGTGTATAGGTTGTAGGTGACGTCCCTCTACCTTTCTCTACTCCATCCCCCTCTTCCTCCCTCCATCCCCTCTTACCTCCATCCATATGTAAAACATATGTTCACTTTGACATCTGTCTAACTAAACTCAAACATATGGGATAGTCTGAATGATGAGGTCTGAGACTGTGTGTTATGTTATGGTATAGTACAGTACGTTATGGTATAGTACAGTATGTTATGTTATGGTATAGTACAGTATGTTATGGTATAGTACAGTACGTTATGGTATAGTACAGTACGTTATGGTATAGTACAGTATGTTATGTTATGGTATAGTACAGTATGTTATGGTATAGTACAGTACGTTATGGTATAGTACAGTACGTTATGGTATAGTACAGTATGTTATGTTATAGTACAGTATGTTATGGTATAGTACAGTATGTTATGGTATAGTATGTTATGGTATATTAGAGTATGTTATGGTATAGTACAGTACGTTATGGTATAGTACAGTATGTTATGGTATAGTACAGTATGTTATGGTATAGTACAGTATGTTATGGTATAGTACAGTATGTTATGTTATGGTATAGTACAGTATGTTATGGTATAGTACAGTATGTTATGTTATGGTATAGTACAGTATGTTATGGTATAGTACAGTATGTTATGGTATAGTACAGTATGTTATGGTATAGTACAGTATGTTATGGTATAGTACAGTATGTTATGTTATGGTATAGTACAGTATGTTATGGTATAGTACAGTATGTTATGTTATGGTACAGTACAGTATGTTATGGTATAGTACAGTATGTTATGATATGGTATAGTACGTTATGGTATAGTATGTTATGGTATAGTATATTAGAGTACGTTATGGTATAGTACAGTAAGTTATGTTATAGTACAGTATGTTATGGTATAGTACAGTATGTTATGTTATGGTATAGTATGTTATGGTATAGTATATTAGAGTACGTTATGGTATAGTACAGTACGTTATGGTATAGTACAGTATGTTATGGTATAGTACAGTACGTTATGGTATAGTACAGTATGTTATGGTATAGTACAGTATGTTATGGTATAGTACAGTACGTTATGGTATAGTACAGTATGTTATGGTATAGTATGTTATGGTATAGTACAGTACGTTATGGTATAGTACAGTACGTTATGGTATAGTACAGTATGTTATGTTATGGTATAGTACAGTATGTTATGGTATAGTACAGTATGTTATGGTATAGTACAGTACGTTATGGTATAGTACAGTATGTTATGGTATAGTACAGTATGTTATAGTATAGTACAGTATGTTATGGTATAGTACAGTACGTTATGGTATAGTACAGTATATTATGTTATGGTATAGTACAGTATGTTATGGTATAGTACAGTACGTTATGGTATAGTACAGTATGTTATGGTATAGTACAGTATGTTATAGTATAGTACAGTATGTTATGGTATAGAACAGTATGTTATGGTATAGTATGTTATGGTATAGTATGTTATGATATAGTACAGTATGTTATGGTATAGTACAGTATGTTATGGTATAGTATGTTATGGTATAGTATGTTATGATATAGTACAGTATGTTATGGTATAGTATGTTATGGTATAGTACAGTACGTTATGGTATAGTACAGTACGTTATGGTATAGTACAGTAAGTTATGTTATAGTACAGTATGTTATGGTATAGTATGTTATGGTATAGTATATTAGAGTACGTTATGGTATAGTACAGTACGTTATGGTATAGTACAGTACGTTATGGTATAGTACAGTATGTTATGTTATGGTATATTAGAGTATGTTATGGTATAGTACAGTATGTTATGTTATGGTATAGTATGTTATGGTATAGTATATTAGAGTACGTTATGGTATAGTACAGTACGTTATGGTATAGTACAGTATGTTATGGTATAGTACAGTATGTTATGTTATGGTATAGTATGTTATGGTATAGTATATTAGAGTACGTTATGGTATAGTACAGTACGTTATGGTATAGTACAGTACGTTATGGTATAGTACAGTACGTTATGGTATAGTATGTTATGGTATAGAACAGTATGTTATGGTATAGAACAGTATGTTATGATATAGTACAGTATGTTATGGTATAGTATGTTATGGTATAGAACAGTATGTTATGGTATAGAACAGTATGTTATGATATAGTACAGTATGTTATGGTATAGTACAGTATGTTATGGTATAGTATGTTATGGTATAGTATGTTATGATATAGTACAGTATGTTATGGTATAGTATGTTATGATATAGTACAGTATGTTATGGTATAGTATGTTATGGTATAGTACAGTACATTATGGTATAGTACAGTACGTTATGGTATAGTACAGTACGTTATGGTATAGTACAGTACGTTATGGTATAGTACAGTACGTTATGGTATAGTACAGTACGTTATGGTATAGTATGTTATGGTATAGAACAGTATGTTATGGTATAGAACAGTATGTTATGATATAGTACAGTATGTTATGGTATAGTATGTTATGGTATAGAACAGTATGTTATGGTATAGAACAGTATGTTATGATATAGTACAGTATGTTATGGTATAGTACAGTATGTTATGGTATAGTATGTTATGGTATAGTATGTTATGATATAGTACAGTATGTTATGGTATAGTATGTTATGATATAGTACAGTATGTTATGGTATAGTATGTTATGGTATAGTACAGTACATTATGGTATAGTACAGTACGTTATGGTATAGTACAGTACGTTATGGTATAGTACAGTACGTTATGGTATAGTACAGTACGTTATGGTATAGTACAGTACGTTATGGTATAGTATGTTATGGTATAGTATGTTATGATATAGTACAGTACGTTATGGTATAGTACAGTACATTATGGTATAGTACAGTACGTTATGGTATAGTACAGTACGTTATGGTATAGTACAGTACGTTATGGTATAGTACAGTACGTTATGGTATAGTACAGTATGTTATGGTATAGTACAGTATGTTATGGTATAGTACAGTATGTTATGGTATAGTACAGTACGTTATGGTATAGTACAGTACGTTATGGTATAGTACAGTATGTTATGGTATAGTACAGTATGTTATGGTATAGTATGTTATGGTATAGTATGTTATGATATAGTACAGTATGTTATGGTATAGTGTGTTATGGTATAGTACAGTACGTTATGGTATAGTACAGTACGTTATGGTATAGTACAGTATGTTATGTTATGGTATAGTACAGTATGTTATGTTATGGTATAGTATGTTATGATATAGTACAGTATGTTATGGTATAGTACAGTATGTTATGGTATAGTATGTTATGGTATAGTATGTTATGATATAGTACAGTATGTTATGGTATAGTATGTTATGGTATAGTACAGTAAGGTTCTTACTCATTCCTGTGCAGACGGAGTGTCATCTCCTCTCCTTCAGCTGTGATAAGGACCTCTGCCTCAGAGGGGTGCTGCTGGGTAGAAAACCAGAGAAATAGAATAATATCTCTCTAGCATTATATCTAACATTATATCTGACATTATCTCTCTAACATTATCTCTCTAGCGTTATATCTCTCCAGCATTATAACTAACATTATATTTCTCAAAAATTATATTTCTCTAACATTTTATCTCTCTAGCACCATATCTAACATTATATCTAACATAATATCTAACATTATATCTCTCTAGCATTATAACTATCTAGCATTATATCTCTTTAACATTATATCTCTCTAACATTATATCTAACATTATATTTCTCTAGCATTATATCTATCTAGCATTATATCTCTTTAACATTATATCTCTCTGACATGATATCTCTCTAGTATATTTCTTTAACATTATATCTCTTTAACATTATATTTCTCTAACATTATATTTCTCTAACATTATATCTCTCTAACATATTTCTCTAGCATTATATCTCTCTAACATTATATCTCTTTAACATTATATCTCTCTAGCATTATATTTCTCTAGCATTATATCTAACATTATATCTCTCTAGCATTATATCTATCTAGCATTATATCTCTTTGACATTATATCTCTCTGACATTATATCTAACATTACATCTCTCTAACATGATATCTCTCTAGCATTATATCTCTTTAACATTATATCTCTCTAACATGATATCTCTCTAACATGATATCTCTCTAACATGATATCTCTCTAACATTATATATCTTAAACATTATGTCTCTCTAACATTATATCTCTCTAACATAATATCTCCCTAGCATTATATCTCTCTAGCATTATATCTAACATTATATCTAACACTATATCTCTCTAACATTATATCTAACATTATATCTCTCTAGCATTTTATATCTAACATTATATCTCTCTAGCATTATTTCTAACATTATATTTCTCTAGCATTATATATATCTAGCATTACATCTCTTTAACATTATATCTCTCTGACATGATATCTCTCTAGTATATTTATTTAACATTATATCTCTCTAACATTATATCTAACATTATATCTCTCTAACATTATATCTCTCTAGCATTATATCTCTTTAACATTATATTTCTCTAACATTATATATCTCTAACATATTTCTCTAGCATTATATCTCTCTAACATTATATCTCTTTAACATTATATCTCTCTAACATTATATCTAACATTATATCACTAACATTATATTTCTCTAGCACTATATCTCTCTAACATTATATCTCTCTAGCATTATATCTCTCTAACTTTATATTTCTCTAACGTTATATTTCTCTAACATTATATCTCTCTACCATTATATCTCTCTACCATTATATCTCTCCAGTATTACAGTGCATTCGGAAAGTATTCAGACCCCTTGACTTTTTCCACACTTTGTTACGTTACAGCCTTATTCTAAAATTGATCAAATTGTTCCCCCCCCCCCCCCCCCCCCCCTCATCAATCTACACAGAATACCACACAATGACAAAGCAAAACAGGTTTTTAGAACATTTTGCAAATGTGTAAAATAACTAAAAAAAACTGAAATATAACATTTACATAAGTATTCAGACCCTTTACTCAGTACTTTGTTCAAGCACCTTGGACAGTGATTACAGCCTTGAATATTCTTGGGTATGACTCTACAAGCTTGGATCACCTGTATTTGGGGAGTTTCTCCCATTCTTCTCTGCAAATCCTCTCAAGCTCGGTCAGGTTGGATGGGGAGCGACGCTGCACAGCTATTTGCAGGTCCCTCCAGAGATGTTCGATCGGGTTCAAGTCCAGGCTCTGGCTGGGCCACTCAAGGACATTCAGAGACTTGTCCTGCAGCCACTCCTGCGTTGTCTTGGCTGTGTGCTTAGGGTCGTTGTCCTGTTGGAAGGTGAACCTTCACCCCAGTCTGAGGTCATGAGCGCTCAGGAGCAGGTTTTCATCAAGGATCTCTCTGTACTTTCCTACGTTAATCTTTCCCTCGATTCCGACTAGTCTCCCAGTCCATGCTGCTGAAAAACAACCCCACATCATGATGCTGCCACCACCATGCTTAACCGTAGGGATGGTGCCAGGTTTTCTCCAGACGTGACGCTTGGCATTCAGGCCAAAGAGTTCATTCTTGGTTTCATCAGACCAGAGAATCTTGTTTCTCAGGGTCTGAGAGTCTTTAGGTGCCTTTTGGCAAACTCCAAGTGGGCGTGTCATGTGCCTTTTACTGAGGAGTGGTTTCCGTCTAGCCACTCTACCATAAAGGCCTGATTGGTGGAGTGCTGCAGAGATGGTTGTCCTTCTGGAAAGTGCTCCCATCTCCACAGAGGAACTCTGGAGCTTTGTCAGAGTGACCAACGGGTTCTTGGTCACCTCCCTGACCAAGGCCCTTCTCCCCCGATTGCTCAGTTTGGCCGGGCGGCCAGCTCTAGGAAGAGTCTTGGTGGTTCCAAACTTATTTCATTTAAGAATGATGGAGGCCACTGTGTTCTTGGGGACATTCAATGCTGCAGAAATGTTTTGGTACCCTTCCCCAGATCTGTGCCTCAACACAATCCTGTCTCGGAGCTCTACAGACAATTCCTTTGACCTCATGGCTTGGTTTTTGCTCTGACATGCACTGTCAACTGTGGGACCTTATATAGACAGGTGCGTGCCTTTCCAAATCATGTCCAATCAATTGAATTTACCACAGGTGGACTCCAATCAAGTTTTAGAAACATCTCAAGGATGGTCAATGGAAACAGGATGCACCTGAGCTCAATTTTCAAGTCTCATAGCAAAGGGTCTGAATACTTATGTAAATAAGGTATTTCTGTTTTGTTTTTTTATACATTTGCAAACACTTCTAAAATCCTGTTTTCGCTTTTTAATTATGGGGTATTGTGTGTAGATTGATGAAAAAAATACATATTTAATCAATTTTAGAATAAGGCTGTAATGTAACAAAATGTAGAAAAAGTCAAGGGGTCTGAATACTTTCCGAAGGTACTGTATATCTCGCTAGCATTATATCTAACATTATAGCTCTCTAACATGATATCTCTCTAACATGTAACGTGTGAAATGTGTTGTGCTATTTTAGAGGACAACCATGTCTCTCTGAGTTAGTAGGGAATGTCAGTGATAAGATAGGATCTCACCTTCTCTCCATGGATGGACCGCCTGTGTCTTGCAGGCTGCAGCCAGTGTGGATAGGTAATCTCATAGCGCTCTATGTGTTCTATTCGATGGCTGCTCTCCTGAGGGCTCTGTCTCTGCTCCTCTACAGGATTTACAAGCATGTCAATAAAGGGGACAGTAGAAGGTAACAGTTTATTGACAGATTAAAACCAGTGCACTCCATTTTCTTAGACAGGTTTGAATATGATGTCTCCTGATGAAATATAATAAAAAAAAGCTTGTGTAGTCATTGTAAAATAAACTCAAATAAATGTATATTTGTCACATGCTTCATAAAACAACAGGTGTAGACTGACAGCGAAATGCTTACTTACGGGCCCTTCCCAACAATGCAGAGAGAAAGACAATAGAGAAATAATAGAAAAGTAAAACATGTAATAATAAAAGTTATAATAAATACACAATGAGTAACGATAACTTGGATATATATGGGGTACCAGTACAGAGTCGATGTGCAGGGGTACGAGGTACATATGAACATATAACTAGGAATAGAGTGACAGCGTATGTGATGAGTGAAAAAAGTTAGTGCAAAAAGGGTCAATGCAGATAGTCCGGGAAGCTAATTGGTTAAAGGTGCAATATGCAGAAATCTCTCCGCCATTTCCTGGTTGCTAAAATTCTAATAGTTCGCCTAATTTCAGTTTATGTGACAAAGAAAGCAATGTATCGTTTACATAATCATTGTACCATCTAAACCACTGTGAAATATATTTCAATAACCAAATATATTGTATTTTCAGCTGTTTGAAAATGGTGTACAATGCCGGGAAGTAAAAGATGCAAAAACGAACCGGGAAGCATAGACATAGCGCACATAGAACAGATCTACTGCTTCTTAGACCTGCTTTCAACGCAAATGACAGATCTATAACTAACATTTCTATGTGAATTTGGTCAGGTCACCCAAAAAGTTACATAATGCAGCTTTAACTATTTAACTAACTATTTAGCGGTCTTATGGCTTGGGGTAGAAGCTGTTCAGGGTCCTGTTGGTTCCAGACTTGGTGCATCGGTACTGCTTGCCGTGCAGTAGCAGAGAGAACAGTCTATGACTTGGGTGGCTGGAGTCTTTGACCATTTGTAGGGCCTTCCTCTGACACCGCCTGTTATAGAGGTCCTGGATGATGGGGAACACTGATGTACGCACTACCCTCTGTATAGCCTTGCGGTCGGATGCCAAGCAGTTGCCATACCAAGCAATGATGCAGCTGGTCAAGATTGTTCTCGATGGTGCAGCTGTATAACTTTTTGGGGATCTGAGGGCCAATGACAAATCTTTTCGGCCTCCTAAGGTGGAAAAGGCGTTGTCGGGCCTTCTTCACAACTGTGTCGGTATGTGTCGGACATGATAGATTCTTAGTGATGTGGACACCGAGGATCTTGAAGGTCTCGACCTGCTCCACTACAGCCCCATCGATGTGAATGGGGGCGTGCTCGGCCCTCCGTTTCCTGTAGTCCACGATCAGCTCCTTTGTCTTGCTGACGTTGAGGGAGAGGTTGTTGTTCTGTCACCACACTGTCAGGTCTCTGACCTCCTCCCTATAGGCTGTCTCATCATTATCGGTGATCAGGCCTACCACCGTTGTGTCGTCGGCAAACTTAATGGTGGTGTTGGAGCCGTGCGCAGCCACACAGTCGTGGGTGAACAGGGACTACATGAGGGGACTAAGCACGCACCCCTGAGGAGTCCCCGTGTTCATTGTCAGCGTGGCGGATGTGTTGTTGCCTACCCTCACCAACTGGGGGCGGCCCGTCAGGATGTCCAGGATCCAGTTGCAGAGGGAGGTGTTCAGTCCCAGGGTCCTTAGCTTAGTGATGAGTTTGGAGGGCACTATGGTGTTGAATTCTGAGCTGTAGTCAATGAACAGCATTCTCACATAGGTGCTCCTCTTGTCCAGGTGGGAAAGGGCAGTATGGAGTGCAATAGAGATTGTGTCATCTGTGGATCTTTTGGGGCGGTATGTGAATTGGAGTGGGTCCAGGGTGTCTGGGATGATGGTATTGATGTAAGCCATGACCAGACTTTCTAAGCATTTCATTGCTACCGATGTGAGTGCTACGGGGCGATAGTCATTTAGACAGGTTACCTTGGCATTCTTGGACACAGGGACTATGGTGGTCAGCTTGAAACATGTAGATATTACAGACTGGGTCAGGTAGAGGTTTGAAATGTCAGTGAAGACACTTGCCAGCTGGTATGCTCGGAGTACACGTCCTGGTAATCCGTCTGGCCCTGCAGCCTTGTGAATGTTGACCTGTTTAAAGGTCTTACTCACATCGGCTATTGAGAGCATGATCACACAGTCATCCACAGTTGTCTTGGCTGTGTGCTTAGGGTCGTTGTCCTGTTGGAAGGTGAACCTTCACCCCAGTCTGAGTTCATGAGCGCTCTGGAGCAGGTTTTCATCAAGGATCTCTCTGTGCTTACGTTAATCTTTCCCTCGATTCTGACTAGTCTCCCAGTCCCTGCCGCTGAAAAACAACCCCACATCATGATGCTGCCACCACCATGCTTAACCGTAGGGATGGTGCCAGGTTTTCTCCAGATGTGACGCTTGGCATTCAGGCCAAAGAGTTCAATCTTGGTTTCATCAGACTAGAGAATCTTGTTTCTCATGGTCTGAGAGTCCTTTAGGTGCCTTTTGGCAAACTCAAAGCGGGCTGTCATGTGCCTTTTACTGAGGAGTGGCTTCCGTCTAGCCACTCTACCATAAAGGCCTGATTGGTAGAGTGCTGCAGAGATGGTTGTCCTTCTGGAAAGTGCTCCCATCTCCACAGAGGAACTCTGGAGCTTTGTCAAAGTGACCATCGGGTTCTTGGTCACCTCCCTGACCAAGGCCCTTCTCCCCGATTGCTCAGTTTGGCCGGGTGGCCAGCTCTAGGAAGAGTCTTGGTGGTTCCAAACTTATTTCATTTAAGAATGATGGAGGCCACTGTGTTCTTGGGGACATTCAATGCTGCAGAAATGTTTTGGTACCCTTCCCCAGATCTGTGCCGACACAATCCTGTCTCGGAGCAATACGGACAATTCCTTCGACCTCATGGCTTGGTTTTTGCTCTGACATGCACTGTCAACTGTGACATGCACTGTCAACTGTGGGACCTTATATAGACAGTTGTGTGCCTTTCCAAATCATGTCCAATCAATTGAATTTACCACAGGTGGACTCTAATCAAGTTGTAGAAACATCTCAAGGATGATCAATGGAAACAGGATGCACCTGAGCTCAATTTTTGAGTCTCATAGCAAAGGGTCTGAATACTTATGTAAATAAGGTATTTCTGTTTAAAGGTCTTACTCACATCGGCTATTGAGAGCATGATCACACAGTCATCCAGAACAGCTAGTGTTCTCATGCATGGTTCAGTGTTGCTTGCCTCGAAGCGAGCATAGAAGGCATTTAGCTCATCTGGTTGGCTCATGTCACTGGGAAGCTCGCGGCTGGGTTACCCTTCGTAATCCGCGATAATTTGCAAGCCCTGTAATATCCGACGAGCGTCAGAGCCAATGTAGTAGGATTTTTTATCTTAGTCCTGTATTGACACTTTTCCTGTTTGATGGTTCGTCGGAGGGCATAGCAGGATTTCTTATTAGCGTTCAGATTTGTGTCCCGCTCCTTGAAAGACCTTTAGCTCAGTTCGGATGTTGCCTGTAATCCATGGCTTCTGGTTGGGATATGTATGTATGGTTACTGTGGAAACGATGTCGTCGATGAAGTTATTAATGAAGTTGGTGACTGATGCAGTAAACTCCTCAATGCCATCGGATGAATCCCGGAACATATTCCAGTCTGCGCTAGCGAAACAGTCCTGTAGCTTGTCATCCGCTTCATCAGACTACTTCCGTATTGAATGGGTCACTGGTACTTCTTGTTTGAAGTTTTGCTTGTAAGCAGGAATCAGGAGGGTAGACTTATGGTTAGATTTGCCCAATGGACGGCAAGGGGGAGCTTTGTATGTGTTTTCTGTGTGTGGAGTAAAGGTGATCTAGAGTTATTTCATCTCTAATTGCATATGTGACATGCTGGTAGATATTAGTTAAGACGGATTTCAGTTTTCCTGCATTAAAATCACAGGCCACTAGGTACGCCGCCTCTGGATGAAAATGTTCTTGTTTGCTTATGGCCCTATAGAATACCACAGTATGAGTCATGTGTTTTGTGTAGGCTTACCCTGGCTTGACATTTTGATAACCGTGTAAATCTCTCTAGGACAAGGTGACTTATCAATATATTCGGCAGTATTTACCCCACAAAAATTACATTATAATTAGCTGCTAATGTGGCTATTATAAAGAACTACAAATTCCATGATGATATGGACGAGACTGCTGAATCTCTGGATTAACTATCTACTGTTAGCTACATTTAGTAATGAATAAATTGACAACATTTCTTTAAATTGACAATTCTGTGAACTGTCTTGTGCAAGTTTTAAATTGACACAATACCTGTTAGCAAAGGCGTCAGATTGAGATGACGTGCAGGAGCTGGCAGGGATTTGTGGTCTTGCATGATGTCTACTTTGATGCTAATTAGCATTTTCGAATCTGAGAGTAAATAGAGCCTAATATATTGATAAAAGTCACCTAGTCCGAGAGAGATTTACATGGTTATCAAAACGTCACTCCAGGGCAGGGGTGTCAAACTCATTTTAGCTCAGGGGCCACATGGAGGAAAATCTATTCCCAAGTGGGCCGGACCGGAAAAATCATGGTATATATAACTTAAAAACAACTACTTCAGATTGTTTTCTTTGTTTTAATACGATCAACATACAACATAAAGCTGGAGCCTGAGGACAGTGTGTCCAAAATAGTACAAGCACAACATCACTATTAATCATAAAACACGTCAAGTTTATTTGAAAATTCTAAAGAAAAAGAACACACAAACACACAATGCCTCAGTGATTAACAGAACTGTTTCACAGATCACAGAACTATATCAGGGTGTCATTTCTCAGGCAGAAATGTAGATAAAAATAATGAAATCCTGTTCCCCAAACAAGTGCAAGAACCACAGAGTCAAGAATAGGTTAAATATACAAATAAAATAAAATCAGTTAAAAACAATAGCACATCAACATAAAAACATATAAACATAAATCTGAAAGCGTTGCTCAAACTCCCGTAACAGTCCAGTTATTTTATCTTTGAACCGCTTCATGTCTGCCACATGTTGGGTCGCGCACACATTTTTCAGACAGGGGAAGTGAGCTGCATCACCACCGGCAAGTTGCGTCTCCCACAATGACAGCTTCAACTTGAAAGAACGTATGCTGTCATAATACTGCGTGACAACTTTGTTGCGCCCTTGCAGCTGTTTGTTCAAGTTATTCAGGTGCTCTGTAACATCCACCATAAATGCAAGGTCCGGCATCCATTCTGCGGAATGAAATTCTAACACTGGTTTGCCCTTTTCTTCCATGAACTGTTCAATTTCTTCTCGTAAATCAAAGAAACGCCTCAGCACAGCACCTCGGCTTAACCATCTTACCTCAGTGTGGTATGGCAGGCCATAGATGTGGTCTTTCTCTCTGAGAAGGCTGTCAAACTGACGGTGATTCAGGCTTCTGGATCGGATGAAATTAACAGTTTGGATGACCACCTTCATGACGTTATCCATCTTTAATGACTTGCAACACAAAGCCTCCTGGTGCAAAATACAGTGAAAAGTCAAAAAATCACGTCCTCCATTTGCAGATTGCACTTTCTCTCTGAACTTTGTCACAACGCCTGCTTTTTTCCCGATCATTGAGGGCGCACCATCTGTAGCCAGGCTGACAGCGCGGGACCAGTCCACTCCGACCCTGTCCAGCGCGCCGACGAGTGCGGTAAAGATATCAGCTGCTGTCGTTGTATCTGTCATCGGCACCAACTCCACGAACTCCTCGGTGACGGTCAATGTGTCATCAACTCCGCGGATGAAAAAATTGCCAGTTGTGCAACATCTGTAATGTCCGTGCTTTCATCAATTGCAACCGAAAACGCAATAAATGACTTTACTTTTTACTTCAACTGGCTGTCCAAATCCACTGAAAGATCGGAAATCCTGTCTGCAACTGTGTTTCTTGTCAGGCTGATATTTGCAAAAGCCTGCCGCTTTTCAGGGCACACAATCTCCGCTGCCTTCATCATGCATGTTTTTACAAATTCACCCTCACTAAATGGTTTTGAAGCCACTGCGATTTCATTAGCAATGAGGTAGCTAGCTTTCACTGCAGCGTCACTGATGTCTCGGCTGTGAGTAAACACAGACTGCTGTTTCTTCAGACCCGCCAACAGTTCATTCACCTTCTCTCATCTCCGCTGTCCTTGAAAGTTGTCGTATTTGTCGGCATGAAGACTCACATAGTGGCGACGAAGGTTATATTCTTTCAGCACTGCAACATGCTCTGAACACACCAAACATACAGCTTTCCCATTCAATTCCGTGATTAAATAGGATGACCATTTTTCTTGGAACACTCTGCGTCCACTTTTCTCTTTTTTGACAGAGACATATTGGGGCAATGAGGGTGCCAAAGCACATAATGTTAAAAGTAGAAGCCGTAATAAATATCGCGGGCAAAACAAAGTAGCTCATTGGCTGCACGTGCTTGACCTACTTGCTCTGCCCCGGTATAAACAGTTTGCTTGCTTAACACAATTGCTATTTTTTATTTTTTTTTATCATCTCGCGGGCCGGATTAAACCCGTTTGCGGGCCTGATCCGGCCCGCGGGCCGTACGTTTGACACCCCTGCTCCAGGGTAAGCCTACACGAAACACAGACCTTATTTTAAGTGTTTCTAAAGTTCCCTATGGGAGAAATTAATGGTGGAAAAACGATTGGAACCATTTCCCTGTTTGACCGCTAGGCTTTATGGGTATTATTCTTTGTGGTCCTCTGTAGCTCAATTGGTAGAGCATGGCGCTGGTAACGCCAGGGTAGTGGGTTCGATCCCCGGGACCACCCATACGTAAAAATGTATGCGCACATGACTGTAAGTCACTTTGGATAAAAGTGTCTGCTAAATGGAATATTATTATTATTATTATTATTATTATGACACCTCAGCTGTGGGGCTCTATACAGCTAGTTGAGTGTGGTCTTGGTTTGTGGTGGTAAATAGAAATCTATGAAAAATATAGATGAAAACTTGCTTGGTAAATAGTATGGTCTACAGTTTATCATGAGGTAGCCAACAGGAAGTTATGTAGATGACTGAATTTAAAACTAACCTCAGTACATTCTTTGAGAAGTTGTAAAAATAATAGAGGCTGCAATTTATAGAAAACGTGCTTATGTTATGAATGAATAAGAAAATGGATTATTTCAAACATTCACAATAGCCTATACTAAGAAAGACTAAATAAGACTTGAAACACCAGTGAACACATAGCTATGGACTGAATGAACCAACATTATGCACAGTTCAAAATAAATTATCTTGAAATATTTATCAGCCATCCAGAAAAATGAAATGTCCATGCATTAAATTACTGATTAGCTATTGTAATGAATGCACAGACTTACCGGCAGCAGCTACGTGACCAGATACAACAGACCCAACACAACAGATAACGACTATCAAATACAGACTCAGCAGGGAATATACAGAACACAGATTAAAGCGGGTTAACCGTTTTCGTGGACTCATGCTAAAATAAAGGGTTAGAATTTAAACCCGACAATGTAATCGCAAACAAATAAAATGCATATGCAAAGGACAACTAATAACGGCCTGTCGACATGTCCTATGAAGCGTAGGCGACAATAGCACTCTATCGCTCTGCCTGCTCGGGATGCTTCCACTGATGTAGAGCGCATCTTTTCTCTGTTTCCAGTTCTTCCTTTCATTTTCAGCCCCTCCCCTTTACCCCTATAGGCCACGCGACATGAGACGCTCCAACGATTTCTGTGAGCCTATCGGTTTTGAAAACGTTAGAAGACTAGATATTGTTTTGTGATAGCCATAACACTTATGCGTTAGCCTACAAAAAATAATACATTCTATTCTATTTTTCAAAAAATTCTGCAGTATGTTATTTCTACTAAAGATTAATTCAGTAATACAGCTTAGGCTCTGTCCTAAAGAAACCCTATTTCCTATATAGTGCACTGCAGTGTTGTGTTCGAGACCACCTAAAGCGAGACCGATTCAAGACCAAGACCGGAGGAGGGGGGCGAGACCGAGTCAAGACCGAGACCAGAAAAATGCGAGTCCAATTCAAGACCATGACTGTAATTTTGTCAAATCGTTACCATAATAAGAGTTCAACATTTCCAGTATTTCTGTGTTCATATTTCAGAAGAACATATGGATTATTTAGACATTCAGAATGGTGAAAAAAAATGCATGCGGAAGGCAAATAGAGCCACTCTACACGTTTACTAACTCAAACACAGTGGGGAACAATGAGGGCCCTTCTATGCTTTCAGAGAAAGGCTAAGGATTTATAGCAAAATAATAATAATGATATTATTATTTTCAATGATGTTCTGATTTAATCTCTTCAGTTTTAGTTAGAAAAGAAAAGGTTAATGCTGAAGAGAAAAAAACATCCAATCAGAATTTGTCTTTGGTGGTCTCCTGGGAGATAAATCTAGCTAGCTAAATCAGCCATTGGCTAGGCCATCAGAAGCTTGATAGAAGGCATCTGCCATTCAACTGTATTAGGGCAACATTTTGGAGTGACAGTGGAATCAACCGATCACATTGACTTGTAATGGCCAACAGGTTGAAGGCCAACAAGTCACTGTGCAATAGCTAGCAGTAGTTTTCCCACGGTCAAGCTAGCTAACTTTTGTTGTAGGCTAGTTTGCAGCGGCTGCAGGTGTTATCAAAGAGGATGTTGTTTCAAGAATAGCTTTCAACAAGAAGTTAAAATAACTGATGTGTGTGAAACATTGTTGCATTTAAACTTCAGATCACAGGTTACTTTGTGTGCTAAACGTGAAATGTTTTTTGCAATGGGAAGTTGTAAATTTTGATTAGAAAAGGCTTAATGGTTGTGTTTTTGTATTCTTATGATTGGGACCTACTGGCTTATTATGTCAGAATGAATGGACTGCTGTCTTTCCATCGGCCCTATGCAGTGGTGTAGTGGTGCCTGGAGAAGTGGGTCCTGTGTTAAGGAAAGGTGCCCTGTGTGAAAAATCCTATGTTTTCCTATAGATTTTTCAGATTTTCCCCCTCAGAATCTCAAAAAATATATAAAACAATTGATGTTCTAATTCCACAACAATGCTTAAACCACATAGGAGACCATTTTTTAGGTCTGGAGAAAATAAAATATTTTTGGAGGGTGTAGTTGCCCTGTAATTCAATTGAGCAAAACAATTGCACTCCCCATAGATACAAATCAGCATTATATCATTCTGTCAGAAAGGCCTACATTGCAGTCAACATTTAATTGTGAAGGTTTTTTGGAAAAGCCTTTAGAAATGTTAATGCAAACAATGACTGGATTGCACATCGCAAATAGCCTCCTAACCAAGACTAAGGACATTTTTAGCAGACGCTCTTGTCCAGATCAACATACAGTTAGTGAGTGCATACATTTTTCATACTGGCCCCCCGTGGGAAACGAACCCACAACCCTGACGTTGCAAGCACCATGCTCTACCAACTGAGCTACAGGGGACCACTGTAGAAACTATGAGAATAGAAAGGTTCAGAACTTTTGTGAAACATCACAGCACAGTTGAAAAATATATGGCAGAGATAGATGGGAGGGGTTGAGTGGAGCTGAAGGATGGGACTAAAAACAAACAAAAGATAACTATTATAAAATATACTGTGTCCGTAAAATGTATATAGTATGTATAAGCTGGAAGTAGAAGCCTAAGTGTTGTTGTCCATTAGTTTACTCCAATTAGGGGAGGGGTGGTAGGGTTAGGGAAAAATAATAAAGGAAAATATTAAAAAATATATATTTTATATACACTACCGGTCAAAGGTTTTAGAACACCTACTCATTCAAGGGTTTTTCTTTATTTTGGCTATTTTCTACATTGTAGAATGATAGTGAAGACATCAAAACTATGAAATAACACATATGGAATCATGTAGTAACCAAAAAGTGTTAAAAAAATCAAAATATGTTTTATATTTGAGATTCTTCAAATAGCCACCCTTTGCCTTGATGACAGCTTTGCACACTCTTGGCATTCTCTCAACCAGCTTCACCTGGAATGCTTTTCCAACAGTCTTGATGGAGTTCCCATATATGCTGAGGACTTGTTGGCTGCTTTTCCTTCACTCTGCCGTCCGACTCATCCCAAACCATCTCAATTTGGTTGAGGTCGGGGGATTGTGGAGGCCAGGTCATCTGATGCAGCACTCCATCACTCTCCTTCTTGGTAAAATAGCCCTTACACAGCCTGGAGGTGTGTTGGGTCATTGTCCTGTTGAAACACAAATGATAGTCCCACTAAGCCCAAACCAGATGGGATGGCGTATCGCTGCAGAATGCTGTGGTAGCCATGCTGGGTAAGTGTGCCTTGAATTCTAAATAAATCACAGACAGTGTCACCAGCAAAGCACCCCCACACCATAACACCTCCTCCTCCATGCTTCACAGTGGGAAATACACATACAGAGATCATCCGTTCACCCACACCGTGTCTCACAAAGACACGGTGGTTGGAACCAAAAATCTCAAATTTGGACTCCAGACCAAAGGACAGATTTTCACCGGTCTAATGTCCATTGCTCGTGTTTCTTGGCCCAAGCAAGTCTCTCCTTTGATGTTGAGATGGGTCTGTTACTTGAACTCTGTGAAGCATTTATTTGGGCAGCAATTTCTGAGGCTGGTAACTCTAATGAATTTATCCTCTGCAGCAGAGGTAACTCTGGCTCTTCCATTCCTGTGGCGGTCCTCATGAGAGCCAGTTTCATCATAGCGCTTGATGGTTTTTGCGACTGCACTTGAAGAAACTTTCAAAGTTCTTGAAATGTTCCGTATTGACTGACTGTCATTTCTCTTTGCTTATTTGAACTGTTCTTGCCATAATATGGACTTGGTCTTTTACCAAATAGGGCTATCTTCGATATAGGGCGTATACCTGCAAGGCCTAGGTCCAAAAGGTTCACACTGCGCAGACATGTCTATAATAGATATAAAGACTGTTACAATTTCAATCTTTCTCCCCTTTACTAATAGTGAGTGCGCAACTTTCCAACAATTTCCCCCACTCTTCCCTACCAGCTAGTCAAGGAAATTCAGAAAAAGTTTGAGGATATTTTTCAGTGAAAGTAAAGGACAGTAATGCTACGAGTAAAGTAGGAATACCAGGTTTCAATAGGCCATAAGGTATTAATGTTTCAAAAAGGAGTGTATATATTTTGCCTGGCTAAGTGCTTTTATCGCTGACTGAATGGAAGCTGATAATTATGCGTGTTTTACTCCACTGGTCTCAGCTGGTCTCGGGAAGAAATTACGAGTCCTCACTGTCCGAGACAGAGTCAAGACTGAGTAAAAATGTACCTGACACCGAGACAAGATCGAGACATTCTATATGTGGTCTGGAGACCGAGTACTACAACACTGGTGCGCTGCTTTTGACCAGGGTCCATAGGGCTGTGGCAACCAGGGGTGATAGTTATTGTCAGCACAGGTGGTTTCTGGGCAGAGGGGCAGGTGGTGTACAGTACAGCATGCCATGACCATGCTGGGGCTGGCACCATCTCTGGGAAGGGATTGTAGCGGAGGGCAATCTGGTTTATGTAGGCCTACAGTACCAGCATTGTGTATGATGATACTGTACCTGAAAAACGAGGTTCCATCTTGTTTTTGCTCTGTCCAACCAAAAGCAATAACATTGATCAGCCACTGTAAGCCAGGGTGTGTTGAACATGTCACACACTGTCATCTGGAGGTGCTGTGATATTATTAGAAATGGTGATGATGAGTGTGTGTTAATATAAGAAGTGTCTAGTGCGTGTGTTAATATAAGAAGTGTCTAGTGCGTGTGTTAATATTAGAAGTGTCTAGTGTGTGTGTTAATTTAAGAAGTGTCTAGTGCGTGTGTTAATATTAGAAGTGTCTAGTGTGTGTGTTAATATTAGAAGTGTCTAGTGTGTGTGTTAATATTAGAAGTGTCTAGTATGTGTGTTAATATTAGAAGTGTCTAGTATGTGTGTTAATATCAGAAGTGTCTAGTATGCAGCGGCAGACAGACCATCCCAGAGTGTCCTATTCTCATCTCTGTCCTCTAAAAGGAACTCTGGCACCAAAACACCAAAGTCATTTATTGGACATCTGTTGATTTCCATGGGACATAATAATAATAATAATAATATGCCATTTAGCAGACGCTTTTATCCAAAGCGACTTACAGTCATGCGTGCATACATTTTTGTGTATGGGTGGTCCCGGGGATCGAACCCACTACCTTGGCGTTACAAGCGCCGTGCTCTACCAGCTGAGCTACAGAGGACCACATCAAACCTGCTGGGACATATCAAACCTCAAGGAGACACAGGATGAAACATTAATTTTCAAAGACTACAGAATTGTCCTTTGTGAATTTAAATGGTGAGATTTGATATTCAGCTCACACCCACAAGGAAGCTTAAGACCAAAAACGGAAATATATATATAGAGAGAAACAGAGAGAGAGATGACCAGACAGATGGGACAAGCAGATCTCTCTGTGGTTAACTGGCACATGCCCACACGCCCAACAGTAAGCCTACTAGTTTATTAGGATGATATAATATGCCAGCATCACTGCCGGCAAAACATAATCAAGTCGCTCTGGATAAGAGCGTCTGCTAAATGACTAAAATGTAAATGTAAATAATCAACAGTACTCTCTTGGTTTAATGGTTCCAGACATAAAAAGACAGACCGTATTTAATCACAGTAAAATATTTGAATACAGTACATGAGCAAAGAGCATGATGGTGTTTTGAGTTATGAAAGACCTTGTTTTACTGCCACCGCCAACAGTTTGTTCCAATCAAGAGTTAGTGATTAACAGTATCTGTCCATACAGAGTCCATAACAGCTCTCAACCCTCTCCATCCCACAGCAGGAGCATTTGGGAGTACGACGAACTCAACGTTATCCACAGAGGGCCAGTGTCTGTGCTGTTTTCTGCTCCACTAGGAAAAGTTCTGTTTCCCCGTCAGCTTAGCAGTTGTCGTCTTCTAGAATGTTGGGGTGTTCCTCCCAGAACTGGTCCCCTATGACGTCACAGTGGTGGGCACTGACACGCCTCCTGGTGCGTGTTACTAGCACCTCCTCCTCCGCCTCGTTGGGGAGCTTCACACTCTTGGTCACTGTTTCTTCCAGCTGGGACAGAGGGAAGGGGGTAGAGAGTTTGAGAGAGAGAGAAGCAAAGGATGGGGTTAACCATCATAATAAATAAGAATAATTAGGTGGGTGCTTACATTTGTCCTATTTCACACATGTAATATCCACCTGAGTTGGATTTTTTTATTCTTTTTTTCCCATATCCCACTCCCCCAGACACCCTTGGAGAGGGGGGTCACGGCCAGGGATCAGCCATTATTGATGGTGACCCAGGAGCAATTAGGGTTAAGTGCCTTGCTCAAGGGCACATCGACAGATTTTTCAGCTAGTCATCTTGGGGATTCGAACCAGCAACATTTTGGTTACTGCCCCAAAGCTCTTAACCGCTACACTACTTACCGCCCTCACACACAAGCCTGGAAGTATTTATATGAATGTATATGAAATGGCATCCTATTCTCTATATAGTGCACTACTTCTGACAAGAGGCAATATATAAGGAATAGGGTGCATTAAAGACAACCTGAGAACTCACCTTCTCCCAGATGAGGGCAGTTCCTTTCCTGTGGACCAGAGGCTCCTTGTTGTAATTGATATCAAACTCAGAAAACATGATCTCATTCTTATCTGCTGCCAAAGTTCCCTGGGAGAGAGAGAGCGAGCGCGAGAGAGAGAGAGACATACATCACAGAGATTTGATTAAGTACAGTGCATTCGGAAAGTATTCAGACCCCTTGACTTTTTCCACATTTTGTTACGTTACAGCCTTATTCTAAAATGGATTAAATAAATAAAATGTCCTCATCAATCCACACACAATACCCCATAATGACAAAGCGAAAACAGGTTTTTTTAAAACAGAAATACCTTATTTACATAAGTATTCAGACCCTTTGCTATGAGACTCGAAATTTAGCTCAGGTACATCCTGTTTCCATTGATCATCCTTGAGATGTTTCTACAACTTGATTGGAGTCCACCTGTGGTACATTCAATTGATTGGACATGTTTTGGAAAGGCACACATCTTTCTATATAAGGTCCCACAGTTGACAGTGCATGTCAGAGCAAAACCAAGCCATGAGGTTGAAGGAATTGTCCATAGAGCTCTGAGACAGGATTGTGTCGAGGCACAGATCTGGGGAAGGGTACCAAAACATTTCTGCAGCATTGAAGGTCCCCAAGAACACAGTGACCGCTATCATTCTTAAATGGAAGAAGTTTGGAACCACCAAGACTCTTCCTAGAGCTGGCCGCCCGGCCAAACAGCAATTGGGGGAGAAGGGCCTTGGTCAGGGAACCTGATGGTCACTCTGACAGAGCTCTGGAGTTTCTCTGTGGAGATGGGAGAACCTTCTAGAAGGACAACCCTCTCTGCAGCACTCCACCAATCAGGCCTTTATGGTAGAGTGGCCAGATGGAAACCACTCCTCAGTAAAAGGCACATGACAGCCTGCTTGGAGTTTGCCAAAAGGCACCTAAAGGACTCTCAGACCATGAGAAACAAGATTCTCTGGTCTGATAAAACCAAGATTGAACTCTTTGGCCTGAATGCCAAGCGTCACATCTGGAGGAAACCTGACACCATCCCTACGGTGAAGCATGGTGGTGGCAGCATCATGCTGTGGGGATGTTTTTCAGCGGCAGGGACTGGGAGACTAGTCAGGATCGCGGGAAAGATGAACGTAGCAAAGTACAGAGAGATCCTTGATGCTCCAGAGCGCTCATGGCGTCAGACTGGGGAAAAGGTTCACCTTCCAACAGGACAATGACCCTAAGCACACACCAAGACAATGCAAGAGTGGCTTTGGGACAAGTCTCTGAATGTTCTTGAGTGGCCCAGCCAGAGCCCGGACTTGAACATGATTGAATATCTCTGGATAGACCTGAAAATAGCTGTGCAGCGACGCTCCCCATCCAACCTGACAGAGCTTGAGAGTATCTGCAGAGAAGAATGGGAGAAACTCCCCAAATACAGGAGTGCCATGCTTGTAGCATCATACACAAGAAGACTTGAGGCTGTAATCACTGCCAAAGGTGCTTCAACAAAGTACTGAGTAAATGGTCTGAATACCTATGTAAATGTGATATTTCCGTTTTTATTTTTTTTTATGTGCGAAAATGTCTAAAAACCTGTTTTTGCTTTGTCATTATGGGGTATTGTGTGTAGATTGATGAGGGGGAAAAACTATTTAATCAATTTTAGAATAAGGCTGTAACGTAACAAAATGTGGAAAAAGTCAAGGGGTCTGAATACTTTCCGAATGCACTGTATCTAAAGGTCTTGGTCAAATAAATATGGAAAGGTCTACTGAGGTAGTTTTCAGTGAACGTAAACAACATGATGTAGTCATCCATTCTAAAGCTATTATCATAATAATTATACAAGTTATGACTAACAAGCAGATGCCCCTTAGAAAATTCCACACCTCAAAAACAGCAGATATTTTAAGACTGTGACACACCCCCACACCTGTAATTACGCTAATCTGACTGGAGTAAGTCTCACCTTTAGCCTGTCCTCTGCCTGTGTAGTGGTGAGTCCACCTTTCTGCACCAACGTCCAAAACACTGTGTTATACAGGTTGTTGACGTGACCTGGAGAGCACACACACACGATTACGAAAGGGATCCAGAAATGTGGAAGAAAATTGATTGTAATCAAAGCATACGCACACAGGACAATGTATTTGGGGATAGGAGTGTGTGTGTGTGTGTGTGTGTGTATACTTACAGTCAGCCTGCCTCCAGCTGATGTAGTCTCGGAGGTTGCGGTTGCTAGGATACAGAACCACCCGCCCGTCAAACCCCGGGGGGTAGAGGAGGGGCTGGTCTCCGAAGTAGTCCCTCCAGTAGAACACATAGGAAGAGGAGAACTGGGACGCTACATGGGTCATCAGCTTACTGTAGGGGGAGGAGGGGGAGAAGAGGGGGAATGGAGGAGGGCAGGTAGAGGAGAGGGAGGAGAGAGGGAGGAGATGAGAAAAGTAAGGGGGTAATGCAATAATCTCAAATGCAATAAACATTTATTGTGAGTGTCTGTGTGGTGGTGTGTGTGTGTGTCTCTGTACATGTGTGTTATTACCTGGCTCTTCTCTTGAACCAGTTGGAGGTCCTCTTGAAGACGAAGCTGAACTCGTCACTCTGTCCGTATGAGATGGTGATGTCATCCAGGTCCTCCATGACAGACCTGGCGCTGCGCGTCATCAGACCCAGAGCTCTGTCGTCGTTGGGCTTCAGGAAGTTGTGCTGCTCTGCAAACCTACAGCAACACAGGGTCAGTCGGTCAGTCAGTTGGTGGGTGGGTCGGTCAGTTAGTCAGTGGGTCGGTCAGTTAGTCAGTGGGTCAGTCAGTCAGTGGGTCAGTCAGTCAGTGGGTTAGTCGGTCAGTGGGTCAGTCAGTCAGTCAGTGGGTCTGTCAGTCAGTCAGTGGGTCAGTCAGTCAGTGAGTGGGTCAGTCAGTCAGTGAGTGGGTCAGTCAGTCAGTGGGTCAGTCAGTGGGTCAGTCAGTCAGTTGGTCAGTCAGTGAGTCAGTGGGTCAGTCAGTCAGTCAGTCAGTGGGTCAGTCATTCAGTGGGTCAGTCAGTCAGTGGGTCAGTCAGTCAGTCACTCAGTCAGTCAGTCACTGGGTCAGTCAGTCAGTGGGTCAGTTAGTCAGTGGGTCCAGTCAGTCAGTGGGTCAGTCAGTCAGTGGGTCGGTCAGTCAGTGGGTCAGTCAGTCAGTGGGTCAGTCAGTCAGTGGGTCAGTCAGTCAGTCAGTCAGTCAGTCAGTCAGTGGGTCAGTCAGTCAGTGGGTCAGTCAGTCAGTGGGTGGGTCAGTCAGTCAGTCAGTCAGTCAGTGGGTCGGTCAGTCAGTGGATCAATTAGTCAGTGGGTCAGTCAGTCAGTCAGTCAGTCAGTGGGTCGAGCTACAGTTACTAACACTAGTGGTAATTTGTCACCCGGCTTCTCATTCTCGTTCCCCCAGTCCACTTCAAGGGAGCATCTCAATAATAAAATGCCTCCTTCCCTTCCTTCTTGGTCACTAAGCAATTGACTGTGAAATGCTACAGGAACTCCCTTGTATGGTAACGATTTTCTCCACATATTCAGTCTGCACAGATCATTCAGTGCTGAAGAGAGGAGAGGATGCCACTGCATATACACCCCCAGCTATTCTCTGGAGATACTTACTTGTGGAAGTTCCTCCCATCCAACCGCACCACGATGTAACAGTTTTTCAGACAGGTGTCGTCTGCCTCGAAGTTACGGACGTACTCGAACTTGCTCTTGGCCATTCTGGCGCTGCTGGTGAAAACCCTGGCTACTGGTCGGAGGATGCACGTTTTGAAGCCTCCTGGTAATCTACACGGCACTGGACCAAACATGAGGGTTCTGTGAGAAAGGACAGAGCAGATCAAATTGCAGTAGGTTCTGTGGGAGAAGAACAAGTAGCACAAGGTTGGCTGTGGTCTTCGTGTCTGAAATTCTGCTTTCTTAACATTAGACTCTGAGCATTTCTTATTATTCTGTATGTAAATCAGTCACTCCATTTACTATGATGTTAAGTTTTGTATGGTATTTATTAATTTGTGGATGTCCATCATCCATTTCGTATGATGTTACACATTACAATTCGTATGATATGTTACGAATTGCAATTCATACAATATGCTACGAATTTGCAAAAGATACAATATGTTACGAATATGCAAAATAAATATGTTACAAATTCCAATTTGTTGTGGCTAACATTAGCTAGGAGGCTAACGTTATCTAGCTGGCTAACATTAGCAAGACTAGGGGTTAAAGTATGGTTAAAGGGTTAGCTAACATGCTAAGTAGTTAAAAGTAGTCGGTAGGTGTAAAGTTGCTAATTAGCTAAAATGATCCATTATGAGATTCGAACGCGGAATATTTTGGTTGCCACCCATCCACCCCGACCAACCAACCTCCTTTCGTTTTTGCCTTAAGTAGGTTTCTGTCTTATGTAACCATACCAAACCTAACATATCATATTAAATTGATCATCCCTGATTTACATTTACTATGTTATGTTTAGTCTATGAGACCAGGCTGACAGGCTAACTAGTTTAGCTACTTACAAATGGTTGGCATCATCTTCGGTTCATGATGAATACTTCCTTAAAACAATGCTATAACTTAGTTTACTTTAGTTGAACCAATGTATGTGATGCTATTGTCGAGGCAATGCTTTAAGTTTGTATTTTTATTTTATTGTGAGAACGTAGCTGGCAAAGGACAGCACACACGTTATTTTCACCAGTGGTTGTAACACAGGCCGTCCACCAAATAGGTCCTACTAGAAGAAATACTGCGTATTTCAGTTCCGGGATAGAATCTAATCTAGAATCTCACCTGCGATCTCACAAAAAATTAAAAAAATTAAACCCAACAACAATTAACGAACAGAAATGGTTTTTGTTGTAGTTGTTGATTGTCTTTTAGTTGGGTTCCTGGACATAATTCCCTTTAAAAAACAATAAAAACAAAGATTACAGACAACTAATATGTAATTTTGTTGCACCTGCCTCAAATCTGCTGCATGGTACTTCAGCGCCCTCTCCTGGTGAAAATCGAGAAATGCAGCGGAAGAAGACTAAGTTTCCCATGATTCTTAGCGTCGTGTATGTCTGAGGTTGTTTCAAACATGGAGGAGAGGGAAAGAAGAGGAGATAAACAACAAAAATGTCCAGAATCAGAAAATAAAGAGAGAGAATCAACAAGTGCATGTGCTTCAGATGCAACCGAACATACGGCAGCAGAAGAAGATGATATCGTGGCAAAGTTGGACGTCACCTCCGATAAATTTGATCCACTCCTGGCGCTCTATTCCCCTACAGTGCCTCTTCCATACCCTAACGTGAAGTGCTTCAACAATATAGCCGAGTATGAGAGCTTTCTGAAGGGGGGCCGGGGCCGCGCCAAGCCGGAGAACGTGGAGAAAAAACTGAGGAAAGCCAGGAAAGGTTTAGCGGATCCGGAGAGGATAGAGAAACTGAAGAGGATGATGGTGAACAACCCGACAGAGGGAGACGGTGGAGAAGAGGGGACCAGCAGCACTGCCCGGCGTTGTAGAATGCAGAAGGCTGCCAAGAATGTCCTGACCAGGATGCCTCGTATGTCGTTAATTATTTCTAGCTATTGTAGTCCTGCTTTGAATCATTTCGTTTTTGGTGGTGGTGTGGTGTCAGATCAAAACATGACCTCTTTCATTCATACTTTACTTATATGACCATTGTCTCATATTGCCACATATATATGCTAATTAAAACTCTTCATTGATATGTTGGGCATTATTGATGTCAAACTTGTGATTGACAGCCAGGTGAATTCTATTTCATGTCTACTTCCTGTTTATACAGTCCATACAGGAAGTCCTCTGGGGGAGCTGCACCGCTGCGTGGAGGAGAGGATCAGGGTGAAAGTTCACATCAGAACCTTTAAGGGGCTCCGTGGAGTGTGTTCTGGCTTCATAGTGGCCTTCGACAAGTTCTGGAACATGGTGAGAGCTCACCCCCTTCCCTCACCCTTACCCTCCTTCCCTCGCACTTACCCATGCCCTCCACTGCCTCTCGACAGACTAGACTGTAGTTTGATGCACATAACCTTACACATCGCTGTCCTCTCTCTCACTCTTTCCTCTCACCCTCTATTCCCTCTCCTCTCTCGCTCCCTGCCAGGCGATGGTAGATGTAGATGAAACCTACAGGGAACCTCTGCTGGGTGAAGCTCTCTACCACGAGAAGGCCCTCACTGTCACACGGGTAGGTCTGGCTGCCACCGAAGGGCTCTGATCCTCTAGCCTAGTGGTGCATTCCAGAGAATAGGGTGTTGTTTTGGATGCAGACTATGACATATCCAGATCATGTGCCACTCACTAAAAAAGGTACAGCCATTATCATTCTCTGCAATCAAAAACAAACTCATTAGCTATCTTTTAACCTGTTTGTCCCCCCTCTCCTTCCGTAGCTCTTTGACAAGCTGAAAGTCCAGGAGAGTGCGGCGCTGAGAGAATGTGAGAAAGAAGAAGCAGATAGACAAGAGGAAAGCTGAACCCCTCCAGCCCCCACCTGTGACCCAGACCCTCCAGACTCAAACCAGAGACAACAGACGAGGGGACCCCAGGAGGAGAGGGGACCCTAGGGCAGTGGATCCCCGACTTGCGAGGGCCACAGTGGGGCCCCCAGTGGCTGATGACGCCGGAGCCCCAGGGGCCACAGGTAAGACCCAGGGGTCAGATGTTAAAGGTCAGGAGTCAGGGACTGAGGGGCCCCAGAGAAGAGGGTCCCAGAAGAAAGAAGTGCCCCAGCCCTACGGGAGGGTTCACACACGCCACGTCAACCAGCTCTTCATACGGGGAGAGAACGTGCTTCTAGTCAACCTACAACCACTCTGAACCTATTGTGTATTTTAGCCAGCAGGCGTGGCAACCTAGCATGGAACGGGAAGGCAGTCTGTTCCTGCTCTCTTGCCAACTCCTAATGGAGTTTGCATGCCAAACATAAGCAGAAGCAGACAGACTGGCACCCGGGCTAGTGGCAACCCTCCAGGAAAGTTACTTGACCTGAAGATCCAACACGCTGAAGCTTTACCAAGACTGACCTACTACAGTATCTACACTGGGTTAGACCAACTAGTAGTGAACCATGAAGTCTCCCTGCTACTGTATATCATATTGATATGTGTTCTCTGCTTTACGCAGACAGAAATTAATTAGAAATAAAACATGAATTACCAAGCTCTCTTCCCTTGTCTGTCCTTTCTCATCTGGTCTTTGCCTCTGGGTCATATGAAATATGAAGCACAGTATTGAAATGCAGGCATGGAGTGCACCACTGTAAATAACCACCAGAGGGCAGTATACTCATTCTAAGACACCTCACCTCGCATTTGAAATGAAAAACCGATGATGTAAATAATTAATATGACAGAACTGTAAAGAGAAATGGGAATTTCTCTACTTTAATTTCAATTTATCCTGATCCAGTGAGGATCAAAATAATGTAAGAATATAAAAGTAGCCTAACCCAATAAATGTTGTTACATTTTTCTTTATAAATATGCAGATTATAATCTCAAACACAACTGCATCAATGCAGAAAACCCATATAAATGTCATCCATGCTATGCCTGGCCTGCCAACTTCAACTCCAGATAACATATGAGGCATATTGCCACTGAAAAGAGGAAAGCCTACTATTTGTCCCATTATCTTGATTTTCTCTCGTCAGCTAGAGCAGAAACAGCAGCGTGGTCTGGTCTCAGAAGACCACATATGTGTGTTATGAATAATGGAGACGGGGAAGCTTGAGATTGCAGACGGCAATAAGCAGCAACTCTTATTTGTCTAGACATTTCGGATTGTGTTTTATTCTTTAATGGCCACATTAGACAGAGAAAGCATGATTTAACTGCATGTCATTGGTTTTGTGTCGCTGCTGCTTTCTGTCTTTAAACTAGAGAGCGGTTACTGAAGGACAATAAACCTTCATTTCCACATTTTCCGTAATATCTTGGAGCCGTTGCACAGTATCTGTTAATTGATCAAACATTGTCTGAGACAAGCCATTGTCCTACAGTACCTGGGTTTACTTACTCTCTGTATACCTCAGAATCTGATCTATTCATTCCCAAGCCAAGGTCCTTCACATGCTTGCATACCGATGCACTGGCCAGATGGCTGTGTGTCTGTAGGGCTGCACTGGCCAGATGGCTGTGTGTCTGTAGGGATGCACTGGCCAGATGGCTGTGTGTGTCTGTAGGGCTGCACTGGCCAGATGGCTGTGTGTGTCTGTAGGGCTGCACTGGCCAGATGGCTGTGTGTCTGTAGGGATGCACTGGCCAGATGGCTGTGTGTCTGTAGGGCTGCACTGGCCAGATGGCTGTGTGTCTGTAGGGCTGCACTGGCCAGATGGCTGTGTGTCTGTAGGGCTGCACTGTGTGTGTGGCTTTCAGCAGGTTCCTCTACTCCAATAAAGTATCAACTAAGTTGGTCTTTTAAGTGAAATAAACACACTTCATTAGCAAACTGTAATCAACTGTTTTAATGGTCTAGATAAAAAGGATCACGATGGGACAAATCAAATCAAACAAAAATAAACTGTTTTCTTAAGGCTCCTTTCGTTGGTGATGCGTCGCTTTTTCCTTTTATACATTTGCATAAACTAGTGTTTTTATTTCTGTAACAATCCCACATTACAGAAGATCTCAGAACAATTGTAATAAGTAGAAGAAGAAAAAATACCAGCGAAAGAATAAACACAACCCCCTAAGGATATCATCTCTTAGAAAAAACAAACAAGAGGCGCTACATTTTGGTCATTTCGAACAGATAATGCCTCAGCTCAGACAGAAGGCTACTGTGTGTGTGTGTGTGTGTGTGTGTGTGTGTATATATCTGTGCAGGGTTGGGGTCAATTCCATTTCAATTTCAGTCAATTTAGAAAGTAAACCAAATTCAACATTTTCCTCATTGAAAAGCACTTCCAGAATTGAAATGGATTTGACCCTAACTCCTGGAAGAGGACATAGCTCTGAGACAAAGGAGTCTAGTGTACATGTGAGGTACTCACTGACCTAGTAGAGATGGTCGTCCTGACTTCAACATGTACACACAGTGTGCATCCCAAATTGCACCCATTTCCTATATAGTGCACTACTAGTCCTATGGGCCCTGGTCAAAAGCAGTGCACTATAAAGTGAATAGGGTGCAATATGGGATGCTACCCCCAAAAAAAAGACAAAATTGAGAAATCCTCTCCTAGACCTGGACTGTCTGAGAAACCTCTCCTTCAGAGATACACTCCGGGGTGAAGTTTCCCCCAAGTACACATCTAGGATCAGCTTCCCCTCCCCCAATCCCAACCATTAGTGGAGGGAAATGCAAAACTGACGCAAGATCAGCGTCTAGGGGCCACGTCCCCCTACTCCCAGAGGCTCCCAGGGGACAGAGGGAGCGGTAAGAACCACACATGCATACTGTGCTGTAGACTCCTAACAGTAACTGTCATGAACACTATAGTTGTATCGTCTCTGTCTGTCTCCTGTAAGTTATAATGAAGGAAAAAGGCCTCTGTCTTACAGGCACGATGTGCAGTACTTAAAGAACACAACCCACCATGAGGTTGCTCCTAGATCTACTGATTATCTTATTTGGATGAAAGGAAAAATAGTATATTTCTTTAAAAAATATATACCCATAAGAAAGGCCACAAAGGAGATCACAACAGCTTCTTCATTTAACAGCTTTCAATCATTTCTCATTCATTCACGTATTAAATCCATCGATCAATATACAATTGATTGATTTGTTAAATCTAATATTGAACAGAAATTCCACATATGGAGTGTGGAACGCTGTTATATAAAGTAAGTATTAAAGGCCGACCCCATGGCAATGTAGCTTGCCATAGCAACATCTTGATTGACATCTGATTCCGTCCAATCGACACACACCTCATCATATCATAATCATGTACTCAATAACTTATTTGTCTGTCACACCAAAGTCATATTTACAGTTGTAGGGAAGGGACAGGTCGAGGTAACCTGACACTAAAAGAGATGGATGGGGAGTTATTGGGGTGGGATTATCATATAAAACTATTTTTGCTACTCTGGACATTTAATTGGTTAAGTAAAGCAAATCCCCCAGTGACATTCGCTTGAAGATTCATATAGACAATTCCATGGTAACAGAATTATGCTTTAAAATGTAATTCAAACAAAAAACAATTATTGCAAAGTTAAACAAACCATACAAGTTTAAAAGTCGTCCTTGTGCAGATAATTGTATGGGTTGTTTAACTTTGCAATCGTTGGTTTTTGTTTGGCATACATTTTAAAGTGAAAAATCAGAGTTTCAGCATCATTCTGTTACAGTGTTTTTCGCTCTCTCACACTCTCTCCCTTAGTTGTTCTCCCTCTCCGATTCAAACCCGAACAGCACACAACCATTACTGTACTGAATACCCTCTAAAAAAGGTACTTGATTGCAAGTTCCAACTGACTAAACATACATACATTCATGTATATTCATATCTCTAAACGTCACTTAAAAAAGGAAAGAAACAGGAAATGGAGGGGTGGCAGTCAGTATTTGATATTTGACAACATTCAAGTACTCTTTGTTTGCAGCTCTTTACAATCCTTCAAGGACAGGCGGTTGGATAGAGAGTAAAATAGAAACAGCCCTCTCTTTCACTTCACCTCCTCTTCCCTCACTTCCTGAAGTTGCCGAAATCCGCGAAGGCATCCAATCCTGGCTTGGGCTGCTGCTGTACCATGCCAGAGCCCATAGACATGGCTGGCATCCCCACTCCCATAGCACCAGGCATGCCCATCCCCATGGTCATGTTAGCCTGGGGCATGGCGCCCATGTTCATGCCCATTCCCATCATGCCCTGACTGGGGGCCATGCCCATGCCAGCACCGGGGTGCATCATGGGAGTTGTAGGCGTTCTGATGGGGGCGAGGCCCATGCCGGCGAATCCCTGGGAGAGCATGTTGACGGGTGGGAGGGGCTGGCTTCCTAGAAGACAGAAACAGGAAGAAGTGGAGTCAGAGGACAGCATGACATCACACACATGTTCACACACTCCATACTGAACAAGTAGTCCCAAGCATCCTACTATTCCATACTGAACAAGTAGTCCCAAGCATCCTACTATTCCATACTGAACAAGTAGTCCCAAGCATCCTATTATTCCATACTGAACAAGTAGTCCCAAGCATCCTACTATTCCATACTGAACAAGTAGTCCCAAGCATCCTACTATTCCATACTGAACAAGTAGAGCCAAGCATCCTACTATTCCATACTGAACAAGTAGACCCAAGCATCCTACTATTCCATACTGAACAAGTAGACCCAAGCATCCTACTATTCCATACTGAACAAGTAGTCCCAAGCATCCTACTATTCCATACTGAACAAGTAGGCCAAGCATCCTACTATTCCATACTGAACAAGTAGTCCCAAGCATCCTACTATTCCATACTGAACAAGTAGTCCCAAGCATCCTACTATTCCATACTGAACAAGTAGTCCCAAGCATCCTACTATTCCATTGACTGAACAAGTAAAGCTCTTAATCCCTCTGGTGCCAACATCCTGACTACATACGAACAAGTACCCAGCACGCTGATCCCTTGCGATATCCCAACATTATGATTTCTAAAATCCAACATTTTTCCAACGAACATTCCCAAACATCCTTTTCCAAAACCCACCCATCCATATAAAACCAGCATCTACTATTTTCGTATCCCAGTCTAAACTACTGAACAAGTACACCTAGGTTATGGCTGCCCGTATGGGACCAGTCGGTCCCAGAAGTCCTACTATTTGACGAAAGTAGCCAGAGGATCACTATTCCATGGAACATGGTCCCAGCAATCCTACTGATTCTGCTGAACAGAGCCCAACCCTACATCCTAACTGAACAGTAGGCCCAAGGATCCTAGAGTTACATATGAACAAGTAAGCAAGCGAACCTATATTATACTGAACAAGTAGTAAGCATCTACTTCCATCTGACTGAAACTAAAGCCTTTTGAATCATCTTGTGACCATCCTGATAAAAAGGAAGAAGTCCCACACGCTGGGGATCTTGGATACTCCACGAACAATTGAATGGATTTCAAACCAACATTTTTTTCAACAGACATTCAGCAGCGTTTTCAACACCCTCCAGATAAACACAGTACTATTTCTATCCCAGTCTAAACTACAACCCAGTACTCACCTTGGAGTGTGTTGAGGGTGGGCTGGGCAGGTTTGGGGGGCTGCATGCCGGGTGCCAGGAAGTCCAGACTGATGTTGACCGAAGAGTCAGACCAGGTGGAGGGGATCGCTGACCCCATGGAACCCTGGGTACCCAGCATGACTTGCTGCTGCTGCTGGGGCTGCAACGGACCACCCATCACCTGGAAGGGCTGAGGGGGGAGAGAGAGGGAGGTAGGTAGAGGTAGAGAGAGAGAGAGAGAGAGAGCGACAGACAATAGATAGTAATGTTAAGGTGACCTATATAATGGTGACATATGAAGGTTGAACTGCTGTCTTTAAAGTAATCTACATAAAAACACATCTCATCTTATCTAACCAGAATGAACAGGATAGGAAGGGGCAGGTTTGATTCATCTGCAAAACTAAGCTTGTCTTTTTTAAGTAGGTCAGGTTTTTGACATGCAAATATCTATGCAAACACAACCTCGTATTAGATTGAATGGTTTTCTGACTCAAACTGATTCCTTCTCACTGTGTGTGTGTGTGTGTGTGTGTTTGCGTTTGTCCCTAGGGAAGGAGGAGCATCTGCAAACCTTGGCTCTCTGCCGTTGCTCTGTCGTGTGTGTGTTCCTCTAAACCACTGACAGTTACTGTCACTCCTCTCATTAACAGTGCATCAGGCACAATAAGGACAATTTACCATGTGAATACATTTACTGTGTGCACCATGTCTGTCCTGTATTCTTACCAGTGATCTGGACTGTGGCATGGTGCTGCTGATGGTCTGTGTGCTGGTCATATTGAAGGTGAGGCTCTGAGAGGCAGAGAGAGACTGGGTCGGGACCGGACCCATCAGGTCAAACAGGTCAGCTGAGGCTGGAGCCGGGGCCGAGGCAGAGCTGGCCGACAGAGCCCCAAACAGGTCAGTGTTGCTGGGGGCCAGAGGCTGGGCGAAGGGGGTGGGGACGGGGGCCTGGCCGTCAGGGAAAGCATTCCAGTCCCCAAAGTCACTGGAGGCTGGAGAGAAGGAGAGAAGAGGGGAGAGGAAAAGGGTTCTAGTGGATAAACTAGACTATAAAGAACTATGGACTTCAATATGTCAGGACATCTCTTTACCTGCCTCTCCCTCCCTCGCTCTCTCTGTCATATCTAACAGGAGTTGAGATGTGTCTGTTCCTGTTGGCCAGACATCCTCCCCTCCATCTCTCTGAATATTCTAGTGCTTTCTAAACTCACCAGGTACTGTAGAGAGGCCGACAGAGGCAGCAGGTGAGGAGAAGTCAGCAAATCCTCCTATCAGGTCTGGAAAGAGACATACAAATCAAATGTGATTGGTCACATACACATATTTAGCAGATGTCATTGCGGGTGTAGCGAAATGCTTGTGTTCCTAGCTCCAACAGTGCAGTAGTATCTAACAATTCACAATATACACAAATCTAAAAGTAAAAGAATGGAATTTAGAAATAAAAATATTAGGATGAGCAATGTCAGAGTGGCATTGACTAAAATACAATAGTATAGAATACAGTATATACATATGAGATTTGGTAAAACAGTATGTAAACATTATTAAAGGGACCAAGTGACCATACAAAACTTAATGATTGAAATGTGACAGTTCCCAGAGACCTGCCCAGGCCCAGAGACCTGCCCAGGCCCAGACCCAGAAACCTGCCCAGACCCAGAGACCTGCCCAGAGACCTACCCAGAGACCTACCCAGGCCCAGAGACCTGCCCAGAGACCTGCCCAGACCCAGAGACCTACCCAGGCCCAGAGACCTTACCCAGGCCCAGGCCCTACCAGGCCCAGAGACCTACCAGAGACCTAACAGGCCAGAAGACATACCAAGCCCAGAGACCTGCCCAGGCCCAGAGACCTACCCAGAGACCTACCCAGGCCCAGAGACCCACCCAGGCCCAGAGACCTACCCAGACCCAGAGACCTACCCAGGCCCAGAGACCTACCCAGGCCCAGAGACCTACCCAGGCCCAGAGACCTACCCAGAGACCTACAGGCCAGAGACCTGCCCAGGCCCAGAGACCACAGCCCAGAGACCCCAGGAGACCTGCCAGGCCCAAGACCTAGCCCAGAGACCTACCCAGCCAGAGACCTCCAGGCCCCTACCAGAGACCTACCCAGGAGACCTACCAGAGACCTCCAGACCAGAGACCTACCAGCCCAGAGCGACCAAGCTACCCAGAAAGCTGCAGAATGGATGCTCCAAGTAGGGAAAGTATCCCATAGAATTATAGCTTATCAAACATCTGCTGAGCTCTTCCTTTCCAGGGACTGCTACTGCAGGGACATCTGGTTCTACACTACCTCCCCCTAACCCTCCATGATGTCCTGTAACTACACTACCTCCCCCTAACCCTCCATGATGTCCTGTAACTACACTACCTCCCCCTAACCCTCCATGATGTCCTGTAACTACACTACCTCCCCCTAACCCTCCATGATGTCCTGTAACTACACTACCTCCCCCTAACCCTCCTATGTCGAACTAACTACCTCCCCCTAACCCTCCATGATGTCCTGTAACTACACTACCTCCCCCTAACCCTCCATGATGTCCTGTAACTACACTACCTCCCCCTAACCCTCCATGATGTCCTGTAACTACACTACCTCCCCCCTAACCCTCCATGATGTCCTGTAACTACACTACCTCCCCCTAACCCTCCATGATGTCCTGTAACTACACTACCTCCCCCTAACCCTCCATGATGTCCTGTAACTACACTACCTCCCCCTAACCCTCCATGATGTCCTGTAACTACACTACCTCCCCCTAACCCTCCATGATGTCCTGTAACTACACTACCTCCCCCTAACCCCCCATGATGTCCTGTAACTACACTACCTCCCCCTAACCCCCCATGATGTCCTGTAACTACACTACCTCCCCCTAACCCTCCATGATGTCCTGTAACTACACTACCTCCCCCTAACCCTCCATGATGTCCTCTCAGTGTGTGTAGTTACCGGTGGCTGCTGCAGGCTGGCTGGGTCCTGAATCTACCATCAATAGGTCAGCTAGACCACTGCTGGAGGGCTGGGGTGCTGCTGCGGACGGAGTCTGGAACGGAGAGAAGGAGAGGAGAGATGAGAGGAGAGACACTGCACTGTCCGCTGTTACCACCAGATGGCAGCAATAAGCTAGAGAGGACCAGCATGGACTGAATGCGCACGGGCACACACCTGTTTGGCGGAGGTATCGGGGCTCTTGTCTCCTGTGTAGTGGGCCGCGGCTCCCAGGGACACAGTTTTGGACGGAACCCCGCCTCTCTTCCTGGTTGCTGTGGTTTCTGTGCCTGGACGATCTGGACGCTCTTGTAGTCAACGGCACGGTTTCCTCCTCGTCTTTGAACACTGACCTCCCAGACTGGCCGTTCCGCGACGGGCGACCTCGCTCCTCCTCGTTGTCACTACGGAGACCAGAGAGGACGCAAACCGGATGAAAAAGAGGACATTTTCTTTTGGGGATAATTCAATTAAAATATTGTGTGACTAAAGTATGACAGAACATCAGGTTGTTCACATACTGTCATATGATGAGGACAGAGGGTAGCTCTAACATACTGTAATATGATATGATGAGGACAGAGGGTAGCTCTAACATACTGTAATATGATATGATGAGGACAGAGGGTAGCTCTAACATACTGTAATTTGATATGATGAGGACAGAGGGTTGCTCTAACATACTGTAATTTGATATGATGAGGACAGAGGGTAGCTCTAACATACTGTAATATGATATGAGGACAGAGGGTAGCTCTAACATACTGTAATATGATGAGGACAGAGGATAGCTCTAACATACTGTAATATGATGAGGACAGAGGGTGGCTCTAACATACTGTAATATGATATGATGAGGACAGAGGGTAGCTCTAACATACTGTAATATGATATGAGGACAGAGGGTAGCTCTAACATACTGTAATATGATGAGGACAGAGGGTAGCTCTAACATACTGTAATATGTTATGATGAGGACAGAGGGTAGCTCTAACATACTGTAATATGATATGATGAGGACAGAGGGTAGCTCTAACATACTGTAATATGATGACAGAGGGTAGCTCTAACATACCGTAATATGATGAGGACAGAGGGTAGCTCTAACATACTGTAATATGATGAGGACAGAGGGTAGCTCTAACATACTGTAATGATTATATGATGAGGACAGAGGGATAGCTCTAACATACTGTAATATGATATGATGAGGACAGAGGGTAGCTCTAACATACATGTAATATGATATGATGAGGACAGAGGGTTAGCTCTAACAATACCATAATATGATATGATGGACAGAGGGTAGCTCTAAAATACTGTAATATGATATGATGAGGACAGAGGGTAGCTCTAACATACTGTAATATGATATGATGAGGACAGAGGGTAGCTCTAACATACTGTAATATGATATGATGAGGACAGAGGGTAGCTCTAACATACTGTAATATGATATGATGAGGACAGAGGGTAGTTCTAACATACTGTAATATGATATGATGAGGACAGAGGGTAGCTCTAACATACCGTAATATGATATGAGGACAGAGGGTAGCTCTAAAATACTGTAATATGATATGATGAGGACAGAGGGTAGCTCTAACATACTGTAATATGATATGATGAGGACAGAGGGTAGCTCTAACAAACCATAATATGATATGATGAGGACAGAGGGTAGCTCTAACATACTGTAATATGATGAGGACAGAGGGTAGCTCTAACATACTGTAATATGATATGAGGACAGAGGGTAGCTCTAACATACTGTAATATGATATGATGAGGACAGAGGGTAGCTCTAACATACTGTAATATGATATGATGAGGACAGAGGGTAGCTCTAACATACTGTAATATGATATGATGAGGACAGACGGTAGCTCTAACATACCGTAATATGATATGATGAGGACAGAGGGTAGCTCTAACATACCATAATATGATATGAGGACAGAGGGTAGCTCTAAAATACTGTAATATGATATTATGAGGACAGAGGGTAGCTCTAACATACTGTAATATGATATGATGAGGAAAGGAGGTAGCTCTAACATACTGTAATATGATAAGATGAGGACAGAGGGTAGCTCTAACATACCATAATATGATATGAGGACAGAGGGTAGCTCTAACATACTGTAATATGATATGATGAGGACAGAGGGTAGCTCTAAATACTGTAATATGATATGATGAGGACAGAGGGTAGCTCTAACATACTGTAATATGATATGATGAGGACAGAGGGTAGCTCTAACATACCATAATATGATATGATGAGGACAGAGGGTAGCTCTAACATACTGTTATATGATATGATGAGGACAGAGGGTAGCTCTAACATACTGTAATATGATATGATGAGGACAGAGGGTAGCTCTAACATACTGTAATATGATATGATGAGGACAGAGGGTAGCTCTAACATACCATAATATGATATGATGAGGACAGAGGGTAGCTCTAACATACTGTAATATGATATGAGGACAGAGGGTGGCTCTAACATACTGTAATATGATATGAGGACAGAGGGTAGCTCTAACATACTGTAATATGATGAGGACAGAGGGTAGCTCTAACATACTGTAATATGATATGATGAGGATAGAGGATAGCTCTAACATACTGTAATATGATATGATGAGGATAGAGGATAGCTCTAACATACTGTAATATGATATGATGAGGACAGAGGGTAGCTCTAACATACAGTAATATGATATGAGGACAGAGGGTAGCTCTAAAATACTGTAATATGATATGATGAGGACAGAGGGTAGGTCTAACATACCGTAATATGATATGAGGACAGAGGGTAATTCTAAAATACTGTAATATGATATGATGAGGACAGAGGGTAGGTCTAACATACCGTAATATGATATGAGGACAGAGGGTAGCTCTAACATACTGTAATATGATATGAGGACAGAAGGTAGCTCTAACATACTGTAATATGACATGATGAGGACAGAGGATAGCTAATATAATAATAATATGCCATTTAGCAGACACTTTTATCCAAAGCGACTTACAGTCATGCGTGCATACATTTTTTTGTGTACGGGTGGTCCCGGGGAACGAACCCACTACCTTGGCGTTACAAGCGCCGTGCTCTACCAGCTGAGCTACAGAGGACCACTCTAACATACTGTAATATGATGAGGACAGAGGGTAGGTCTAACATACCGTAATCTGATATGAGGACAGAGGGTAGCTCTAAAATACTGTAATATGATATGAGGAGGACAGAGGGGAGCTCTAACATACTGTAATATGATATGATGAGGACAGGAGGTAGCTCTAACATACTGTAATATGATAGGATGAGGACAGAGGGTAGCTCTAACATACCGTAATATGATATGAGGACAGAGGGTAGCTCTAACATACTGCAATATGATATGATGAGGACAGACGGTAGCTCTAACATACTGTAATATGGTATGATGAGGACAGAGGGTAGCTCTAACATACCATAATATGATATGAGGACAGAGGGTAGCTCTAAAATACTGTAATATGATATTATGAGGACAGAGGGTAGCTCTAACATACTGTAATATGATATGATGAGGAAAGGAGGTAGCTCTAACATACTGTAATATGATAAGATGAGGATAGCTCTAACATACTGTAATATGATATGATGAGGACAGAGGGTAGCTCTAACATACTGTAATATGATATGATGAGGACAGAGGGTAGGTCTAACATACCGTAATATGATATGAGGACAGAGGGTAGCTCTAAAATACTGTAATATGATGAGGACAGAGGGTAGGTCTAACATACCGTAATATGATATGAGGCCAGAGGGTAGCTCTAACATACTGTAATATGATATGATGAGGACAGAGGGTAGCTCTAACATACTGTAATATGATATGAGGACAGAAGGTAGCTCTAACATACTGTAATATGATATGATGAGGACAGAGGATAGCTCTAACATACTGTAATATGATGAGGACAGAGGGTAGGTCTAACATACCGTAATCTGATATGAGGACAGAGGGTAGCTCTAAAATACTGTAATATGATATGAGGAGGACAGAGGGTAGCTCTAACATACTGTAATATGATGAGGACAGAGGGGAGCTCTAACATACTGTAATATGATATGATGAGGACAGGAGGTAGCTCTAACATACCGTAATATGATAGGATGAGGACAGAGGGTAGCTCTAACATACCGTAATATGATGAGGACAGAGGATAGCTCTAACAAACTATAATTTGATATGATGAGGACAGAGGATAGCCCTACCATACAGTAATATGATATGAGGACAGAGGGTAGCTCTAACATACTGTAATATGATGAGGACAGAGGATAGCTCTAACAAACTGTAATATGATATGATGAGGACAGAAGATAGCCCTACCATACTGTAATATGATATGATGAGGACAGAGGGTAGCTCTAACATACCGTAATATGATATGATGAGGACAGAGGGTAGCTCTAACATACTGTAATATGATATGATGAGGACAGAGGGTAGCTCTAAATACTGTAATATGATATGATGAGGACAGAGGGTAGCTCTAACATACTGTAATATGATATGATGAGGACAGAGGGTAGCTCTAACATACTGTAATATGATATGATGAGGACAGAGGGTAGCTCTAACATACTGTAATATGATATGATGAGGACAGAGGGTAGCTCTAACATACTGTAATATGATATGAGGAGGACAGAGGGTAGCTCTAACATACTGTAATATGATGAGGACAGAGGGGAGCTCTAACATACTGTAATATGATATGATGAGGACAGGAGGTAGCTCTAACATACCGTAATATGATAGGATGAGGACAGAGGGTAGCTCTAACATACCGTAATATGATATGAGGACAGAGGGTAGCTCTAACATACTGTAATATGATGAGGACAGAGGATAGCTCTAACATACCGTAATATGATATGATGAGGACAGAGGGTAGCTCTAACATACCGTAATATGATATGAGGACAGAGGGTAGCTCTAACATACTGTAATATGATGAGGACAGAGGATAGCTCTAACAAACTGTAATATGATATGATGAGGACAGAGGATAGCCCTACCATACTGTAATATGATATGATGAGGACAGAGGGTAGCTCTAACATACCGTAATATGATATGAGGACAGAGGGTAGCTCTAACATACTGTAATATGATATGATAACAGCGCCGGAGAAGATGGCTGCCGTTTTACAGCCCTCTAACCAATTGTACTATTATGTGTGTTTTTCCGCGTTATTTGTAATTTATTTTGTACATAATGTTTCTGCCATTGTCTCTTATAACCAAAAAGAGCTTCTGGATATCAGGACAGCGATTACTCACCTCGTATTGGACAAAGATTTTTTCTTCAACGAGGCGGCCGCGAAGGATATCATACAGACACCCGACAAGGCCCAAATCCCCGTCATTCGCGTGAGGAAAAGACAGAGATATCGTGGACGTAGATCGGGGTGCCTTGTAAGGATCCGACGGCGAGCGAGTAAACTGCCTCTTCCATCAATCCTATTAGCCAACGTTCAATCATTTGAAAATAAATTGGATGATTTAAGACTACGGTTATCCTACCAACGGGACATTAAAAACTGTAATATCTTATGTTTCACCGAGTCGTGGCTGAACGACGACATTGATAACATACAGCTAGCGGGCTATAGACTACATCGGCAGGATAGAACGGCTGACTCCAGTAAGACAAGGGGTGGCGGTCTGTGTATATTTGTAAACAACAGCTGGTGCACAAAATCAAATACTAAGGAAGTCTCGAGGTTTTGCTCGCCTGAGGTAGAGTATCTTATGATAAGCTGTAGACCACACTATTTACCAAGAGAGCTTTCATCTATATTTTTCATAGCTGTCTATTTACCCACCACAAACCAATGCTGGCATTAAGATTGCACTGAATGAGTTGTACAAGGCCATAAATCAACAGGAAAACGCTCATCCAGATGCAGCGCTCCTAGTGGCCGGGGACTTTAATGCAGGGAAACTTAAATCCGTTCTACCTAATTTCTACCAGCATGTTAAATGTGCAACCAGAGGAAAAAAAACTCTAGACCACCTTTACTCCACACACAGAGACGCATACAAAGCTCTCCCTCGCCCTCCATTTGGCAAATCTGACCATAACTCTATCCTCCTGATTCCTGCTTATAAGCAAAAACTAAAGCAGGAAGCACCAGTGACTCGGTTAATAAAAAAGTGGTCAGATGACGCAGATGCTAAGCTACAGGACTGTTTTGCTAGCACAGACTGGAACATGTTCCGGGATTCTTCAGACAGCATTGAGGAGTACACCACATCAGTCACTGGCTTCATCAATAAGTGCATCAATGATGTCGTCCCCACAGTGACCATACGTACATACCCCAACCAGAAGCCATGGATTACAGGAAACATCCGCACTGAGCTAAAGGGTAGAGCTGCCGCTTTCAAGGAACGGGACTCTAACCCGGACGCTTATAAGAAATCCCGCTATGCCCTCCGACGAACCATCAAACAGGCAAAGAGTCAATACAGGACTAAGATTGAATCGTACTACACTGGCTCTGACGCTCGTCGGATGTGGCAGGGCTTGAAAACTATTACAGACTACAAAGGGAAGCACAGCCGTGAGCTGCCCAGTGACAAGCCTACCAGACGAGCTAAACCACTTCTATGCTCGCTTCGAGGCAAGCAACACTGAAGCATGCATGAGAGCACCAGCTGTTCCGGATGACTATGTGATCACGCTCTCCGTAGCCGATGTGAGTAAGACTTTTAAGCAGGTCAACATTCACAAGGCCGCAGGGCCAGACGGATTACCAGGACGTGTACTCCGAGCACGTGCTGACCAACTGGCAAGTGTCTTCACTGACATTTTCAACATGTCCCTGACTGAGTCTGTAATACCAACATGTTTCAAGCAGACCACCATAGTCCCCGTGCCCAAGGACTCTAAGATAACCTGCCTAAATGACTACCGACCCGTAGCACTGACGTCTGTAGCCATGAAGTGCTTTGAAAGGCTGGTCATGGCTCACATCAACAGCATTATCCCAGAAACCCTAGACCCACTCCAATTTGCATACCGCCCCAACAGATCCACAGATGATGCAATCTCTATTGCACTCCACACTGCCCTTTCCCACCTGGACAAGAGGAACACCTACGTGAGAATGCTATTCATTGACTACAGCTCAGCATTCAACACCATAGTGACCTCAAAGCTCATCACTAAGCTAAGGATCCTGGGACTAAACACCTCCAACTGCAACTGGATCCTGGACTTCCTGACGGGCTGCCCCCAGGTGGTAAGGGTAGGTAACAACACATCTGCCACACTGATCCTCAACACGGGGACCCCTCAGGGGTGCGTTCTCAGTCCCCTCCTGTACTCTCTGTTCACCCATGACTGCATGGCCAGGCACGACTCCAACACCATCATTAAGTTTGCCGACGACACAACAGTGGTAGGCCTGATCACCGACAACGATGAGACAGCCTATAGGGAGGTCAGAGACCTGGCCGTGTGGTGCCAAGACAACAACCTCTCCCTCAACGTGACCAAGACGAAGGAGATGATTGTGCACTACAGGAAAAAAAAAAGAGGACTGAGCATGCCCCCATTCTCATCGACGGGGCTGTAGTGGAACAGGTTGAGAGCTTCAAGTTCCTTGGTGTCCACATCACCAACGAACTATCATGGTCCAAACACACCAAGACAGTCGTGAAGAGGGCACGACATAGCCTATTCCCCCTCAGGAGACTGAAAAGATGTGGCATGGGTCCTCAGATCCTCAAAAAATTCTACAGCTGCACCATCGAGAGCATCCTGACTGGTTGCATCACCGCCTGGTATGGCAACTGCTTGGCCTCCGACCGCAAGGCACTACAGAGGGTAGTGCGTACGGCCCAGTACATCACTGGGGCCAAGCTTCCTGCCATCCAGGACCTCTATACCAGGCGGTGTCAGAGGAAGGCCCTCAAAATTGTAAAAGACTCCAGCCACCCTAGTCATAGACTGTTCTCTCTGCTACTGCACGGCAAGCGGTACCGGAGTGCCAAGTCTAGGTCCAAAAGACTTCTCAACAGCTTCTACACCCAAGCCATAAGACTCCTGAACAGCTAATCATGGCTACCCGGACTATTTGCACTGCCCCCCCACCCCCATCCTTTTTACGCTGCTGCTACTCTGTTAATTATTTATGCATAGTCACTTTAACTCTACCCACATGTACATATTACCTCAACTAGCCGGTGCCCCCGCACATTGACTCTGCAACGGTACCCCCCTGTATATATAGCCTCCCTACTGTTATTTTATTTTACTTCTGCTCTTTTTTTTCTCAACACTTTTTTTTGTTGTTGTTTTATTGTCTGCACCTGTTGTATTCGGCGCATGTGACCAATAAAATTTGATTTGATTTGATGAGGACAGAGGGTAGCTCTAACATACTGTAATATGATATGATGAGGACAGAGGGTAGCTCTAACATACTGTAATATGATATGGAGGACAGAGGGTAGCTCTAACATACTGTAATATGATATGATGAGGACAGAGGGTAGCTCTAACATACTGTAATATGATGAGGACAGAGGGTAGCTCTAAAATACTGTAATATGATATGAGGAGGACAGAGGGGAGCTCTAACATACTGTAATATGATATGATGAGGACAGGAGGTAGCTCTAACATACCGTAATATGATAGGATGAGGACAGAGGGTAGCTCTAACATAATGTAATATGATATGAGGACAGAGGGTAGCTCTAACATACTGTAATATGATGAGGACAGAGGATAGCTCTAATATACTGTAATATGATATGATGAGGACAGAGGGTAGCTCTAACATACCGTAATATGATATGAGGAGGACAGAGGGTAGCTCTAACATACTGTAATATGATATGATGAGGACAGGAGGTAGCTCTAACATACCGTAATATGATAGGATGAGGACAGAGGGTAGCTCTAACATACCGTAATATGATATGAAGAAAGAGCGTAGCTCTAACATACTGTAAGATGATGAGGACAGAGGGTAGCTCTAAAATACTGTAATATGATATGATGAGGACAGAGGGTTTGCTCTAAAATACTTGTAATATGATATGATGGGGGACAGAGGGTAGCTCTAACATACTGTAATATGATATGATGAGGACAGAGGGTAGGTCAACATAAATGTAAATGATGAGGGGCAGAGGGTAGCTCTAACATACGTAATATGATATGATGAGGACAGAGGGTAGCTCTAACATACTGTAATATGATATGATGAGGACAGAGGGTTTAGCTCTAACATACTGTAATATGATATGGGGACAGGAGGGTAGCTCTAACATACTGTAATATGATAGAGGACAGAGGGTAGCTCTAAATCTGTAATATGATATGATGAGGACGGGGTTTAGCTCTAAAATACTGTAATATGATATGATGAGGACAGAGGGTAGCTCTAACATACTGTAATATGATATGATGAGGACAGAGGGGTAAACTCTAAACATACTGTAAAATGATTTGAGGACAGAGGGTAGCTCTAACATACTGTAATATGGGTGAGGACAGAGGTAGCTCTAAAAATACGTAATATGTATGATGAGGAAGAGGGTAGCTCTAACATACTGTAATATGATATGGGGGACAGAGGGTAGCTCTAACTACTGTAATATGATATGAAGACAGAGGGTTTTGCCCCTAAAATACTGTAATATGATGAGGACAGAGAGTAGCTCTAACAACTGTAATATTTATGAGGACAGAGGGTAGCTCTAACATATGTAATATGATGAGGACAGGAGGTTTGCTCTAAAAATACTGTAAAAATGATATGATGAGGGGCAAGGATAGCTCTAACAAAAACGTAAAGATATGATGAGGACAGAGGGTTTGCTCTAAATACTGTAAATGATATGATGAGGACAGAGGGAGCTCTAACATTTCTGTAATTGAATGATGAGGACAGAGGGTAGCTCTAACATACTGTAATATGATATGATGAGGACAGAGGGTAGCTCTAACATACTGTAATATGATATGAGGACAGAGGGTAGCTCTAACATACTGTAATATGATACGAGGACAGAGGGTAGCTCTAACATACTGTAATATGATATGATGAGGACAGGGGGTAGCTCTAAAATACTGTAATATGATATGATGAGGACAGAGGGTAGCTCTAACATACTGTAATATGATATGATGAGTACAGAGGGTAGCTCTAACATACTGTAATATGATATGTTGAGGACAGAGGGTAGCTCTAACATACTGTAATATGATGAGGACAGAGGGTAGCTCTAACATACTGTAATATGATATGATGAGGACAGAGGGTAGCTCTAACATACTGTAATATGATATGAGGACAGAGGGTAGCTCTAACATACTGTAATATGATATGAAGACAGAGGGTAGCTCTAAAATACTGTAATATGATGAGGACAGAGAGTAGCTCTAACATACTGTAATATGATGAGGACAGAGGGTAGCTCTAACATACTGTAATATGATGAGGACAGGAGGTAGCTCTAACATACTGTAATATGATATGATGAGGACAGAGGATAGCTCTAACATACTGTAATATGATATGATGAGGACAGAGGGTAGCTCTAATATACTGTAATATGATATGATGAGGACAGAGGGTAGCTCTAACATACTGTAATATGATATGATGAGGACAGAGGGTAGCTCTAACATACTGTAATATGATATGATGAGGACAGAGGGTAGCTCTAATATACTGTAATATGATATGAGGACAGAGGGTAGCTCTAACATACTGTAATATGATATGAGGACAGACGGTAGCTCTAACATACTGTAATATGATATGGACAGAGGGTAACTCTAACATACTGTAATATGATATGATGAGGACAGAGGGTAGCTCTAACATACTGTAATATGATGAGGACAGAGGATAGCTCTAACATACTGTAATATGATGAGGACAGAGGGTAGCTCTAACATACTGTAATATGATATGATGAGGACAGAGGGTAGCTCTAACATACTGTAATATGATGAGGACAGATGGTAGCTCTAACATACTGTAATATGATATGATGAGGACAGAGGGTAGCTGTAACATACTGTAATACGATGAGGACAGAGGGTAGCTCTAACATACTGTAATATGATATGATGAGGACAGAGGGTAGCTCTAACATACTGTAATATGATATGATGAGGACAGAGGATAGCTCTAACATACTGTAATATGATATGAGGAGGACAGAAGATAGCTCTAACATACTGTAATATGATATGATGAGGACAGAGGATAGCTCTAACATACTGTAAAATGATATGATGAGGACAGAGGATAGCTCTAACATACTGTAATATGAAATGATGAGGACAGTGTAGGTCTAACATTCTGTAATATGATGAGGACAGAGGATAGCTCTAACATACTGTAATATGATATGATGAGGACAGGAGGTAGCTCTAACATACTGTAATATGATATGAGGACAGAGGGTTAGCTCTAACATACTGTATAAAGATATGAGGACAGAGGGTAGCTCTAACATACTGTAATATGATATGAGGACAGAGGGGTAGCTCTAACATACTGTAATATGTATGGGGCAGAGGGTAGCTCTAACATACTGAATATGATATGATAGGACAGGGTAGCTCTAACATACTGTAATATGATGAGGAAGAGGGTAGCTCTAAAATACGAATATGATGAGGAAAGAGGGTTTGCTCTAAATACTGTAATATGGGTGAGGACAGAGGGTAGCTCAAACATACTGTAATAGGATACGATTTAGGACAGAGGGTAGCCCTTTAAAATACTGTAATTGTATAATGAGGACAGAGGGTAGCTCTAAAAATACTGTAAAATGATATGATGAGGAAAAGAGGATAGCTCTATCATACTGTAATATGATATGATGAGGACAGAGGATAGCTCTAACATACTGTAATATGATAGTGAGGACAGAGGGTTAGCTCTAACATACTGTAATATGATGAGGACAGAGGGTAGCTCTAAACATACTGTAATATGATGAGGACAGAGGGTAGCTCTAACATACTGTAATATGATATGATGAGGACAGAGGGTAGCTCTAACATACTGTAATATTATATGATGAGGACAGAGGGTAGCTCTAAACACTGTAATATGATGAGGCAGAGGGTAGCTCTAACATATGTAATATGATATGATGAGGACAGAGGATAGCTCTAACATACTGTAATATGATATGAGGAGGACAGAGGGTAGCTTATAATACCGTAATATGATATGAGGACAGAGGCTCTAACATACTGTAATATGATGAGGACAGAGGGTAGCTCTAACATACTGTAATATGATGAGGACAGAGGGTAGCTCTAACATACTGTAATATGATATGATGAGGACAGGAGGTAGCTCTAACATACTGTAATATGATAGGATGAGGACAGAGGGTAGCTCTAACATACCGTAATATGATATGAGGACAGACGGTAGCTCTAACATACCGTAATATGATGAGGACAGAGGGTTAGCTCTAACATACTGAAAATATGATATGATGAGGACAGAGGGCAGCTCTACCTGAATATGAAAATGATGAGGACAGAGGGTAGCTCTAACATACTGTAAAATGATATGATGAGGGCAGAGGGTAGCTTAAAAATACTGTAATATGATATGATGAGGACAGAGGGTAGCTCTAACATACTGTAATATGATGAGGACAGAGGGTTAAACTCTAACATACTGTAATATGATATGATGGGGGACAGAGGGTAGCTCTAACATTTCTGTAATATGATGAGGACATAGGGAAGCTCTAACATACTCTAATATGATGAGGACAGAGGGTAGCTCTAACATACTGTTTAAAATGATATGACAGAGGGTAGCTCTAACATACCGTAATATGATTGATGAGGACAGAGGGTAGCTCTAACACTGATATGATTAGATGTGAGGACAGAGGGTAGCTCTAACATACTGTAATAGGATTGAGGACAGAGGGTTTGCTCTAACATACTGTAATATGATATGATGAGGACAGAGGGTAGCTCTAACATACCGTAATATATATGAGGACAGAGGGTAGCTCTAACATACTGTAATATGATGAGGACAGAGGGTAGCTCTAACATACTGTAATATGATATGATGAGGACAGAGGGTAACTCTAACATACTGTAATATGATATGATGAGGACAGAGGGTAGCTCTAACATACTGTAATATGATATGATGAGGACAGAGGGTAGCTCTAACATACTGTAATATGATATGATGAGGACAGAGGGTAGCTCTAACATACTGTAATATGATATGATGAGGACAGAGGGTAGATCTAACATACTGTAATATGATATGATGAGGACAGAGGGTAGCTCTAACTTCTCCCTGTACCTCAGTTAGTATTGCTCTCCATCTCGCTCCATTTTCTTTCTCGCAATCTCACCCAGGGGAACACTTCTCTCTCCTAACCTGAATCATACGTCTGGTGAGTAGTCTCTCTGCTAACCTGAATCATCCGTCTGGTGAGTAGTCTCTCTGCTAACCTGAATCATCTGTCTGGTGAGTCGTCTCTCTCCTAACCTGAATCATCTGTCTGGTGAGTCGTCTCTCTCCTAACCTGAATCGTTCTGGTGAGTCGTCTCTCTCCTAACTTGAATCGTTCTGGTGAGTCGTCTCTCTCCTAACCTGAATCGTTCTGGTGAGTCGTCTCTCTCCTAACCTGAATCGTTCTGGTGAGTCGTCTCTGCTCTGCTTCCTGAACTTGTTGATGGTGTCGTCGATGGTGCTGCCGATCTTATCACTGATCTCCCCCAGTTTGTCACTGAAGGGGAACTGGCCTTGGTCTCTCTTCCAGTCCTCATCCCACTTCCGTCTGCTGCTTCCCATCGTTACCGCCAGAGCTGCTGGAGTCATACCGATCACCCGCTGGGGGGGAGAAGAGACAGAGAGAGCGAAGGGGAGAGAGAGAACGAGAGAGAGAGAGAGAGAGAAAGAGAGAGAGAGAGCGAGAGAATAGTGAGTTTGTGTCAGAGGCCAATAAGATCAGAGGACACTCCAATGTATACAGCTTTTGGAAAGTATTCAGACCCCTTGACTTTTTCCACATTTTGTTACAGCCTTATTCTAAAATTGATTAAATAATTTTTTTTGCTCATCAATCTACACACACTACCCCATAATGACAAAGTGAAAACAGGTTTTTAGATTTTTTTTTACAAATGTATTAAAAATAAATAACAGAAATACCTTATTTACATAAGTATTCAGACCTTTTGCTATGAGACTCGAAAATTGAGCTCAGGTGCATCCTGTTTCCATTGATCATCCTTGAGATGTTTCTACAACTTCATTGGAGTCCACCTGTGGTAAATTCAATTGATTGGACATGATCTGTAAAAAGCACACACCTGTCTATATAAGGTCCCACAGTTGACAGTGCATGTCAGAGCAAAAACCAAGCCATGAGGTCGAAGGAATTGTCCGTAGAGCTCCAAGACAGGATTGTGTCGAGGCACAGATCTGGGAAAGGGTACCAAAACATTTCTGCAGCATTGAAGGTCCCCAAGAACACAGTGGCCTCCATCATTCTTAAATGGAAGAAGTTTGGAACCACCAAGACTCTTCCTAGAGCTGGCCGCCCAGCCAAACTGAGTAATCGGGGGAGAAGGGCCTTGGGTCAGGGAGGTGACCAAGAACCCGATGGTCACTCTGACAGAGCTCCAGAGTTCCTCTGTGGAGATGGGAGAACCTTCCAGAAGGACAACCATCTCTGCAGCACTCCACCAATCAGGCCTTTATGGTAGAGTGGCCAGACAGAAGCCACTCCTCAGTAAAAGGCACATGACAGCCCGCTTGGAGTTTGCCAAAAGGCACCTAAAGAACTCTCAGACAATGAGAAACAAGATTCTCTGGTCTGATTAAACCAAGATTGAGCTCTTTGGCCTGAATACCAAGCGTCACGTCTGGAGGAAACCTGGCACCATCCCTACGGTGAAGCATGGTGGTGGCAGCATCATGCTGTGGGGATGTTTTTCAGCGGCAGGAACTGGGAGACTAGTCGGGATCGAGGGAAAGACGAACGGAGCAAAGCACAGAGAGATCCTAAATGAAAACCTGCTCCAGAGTGCTCAGGACCTCAGACTGGGGGCGAAGGTTCCCCTTCCAACAGGACAACGACCCTAAGCACAAAGCCAAGACAACGCAGGAGTGGCTTTGGGACAAGCATCTGAATGTCCTTGAGTGGCCAGCCAGAATCCAAACATGAACCCAATCAAATATCTCTGGAAAGACCAGAAAATTGCTGTGCAGCGACGCTCCCCATCCAACCTGACAGAGCTTCAGAGGATCTACAGAGAAGAATAGGAGAAACTCCTCAAATACAGGTGTGTCAAGCTTGTAGCGTCATACCCAAGAAGACTTGAGGCTGTAATCGCTGCCAAAGGTGCTTCAACAAAGTACTGAGTAAAGGGTCTGAATACTTATGTAAATGTTATATTTACGTTTTTTTGCAAACATTTCTAAAAACCTGTTTTTGCTTTGTCATTATGGGGTATTGCATGTAGACTGATGAGAAAAAACAAACAATTTAGTCAATTTTAGAATTAGGCTGTAACGTAACAAAATGTGGAAAAAGTCAAGGGGTCTGAATACTTTCCGAATGCACCGTTTATGTGTGAGTGAGTGTTTGTGTGTTCTAGATTGACTTACTGTATCTACTGAACCCTCCCCCCATACTGTCAGAGGACTTACTGTATCTACTGAACCCTCCCCCAATACTGTCAGAGGACTTACTGTATCTACTGAACCCTCCCCCCAATACTGTCAGAGGACTTACTGTATCTACTGAACCCTCCCCCCATACTGTCAGAGGACTTACCGTTTCTACTGAACCCTCCCCCAATACTGTCAGAGGACTTACTGTATCTACTGAACCCTCCCCCCATACTGTCAGAGGACTTACTGTATCTACTGAACCCTCCCCCAATACTGTCAGAGGACTTACTGTATCTACTGAACCCTTCCCCAATACTGTCAGAGGACTTACCGTATCTACTGAACCCTCCCCCCATACTGTCAGAGGACTTACTGTATTCACTGAACCCTCCCCCAATACTGTCAGAGGGACTTACTGTATCTACTGAAACCCTCCCCCAATACTGTCAGAGGACTTACTGTATCTACTGAAACCCTCCCCCAATACTGTCAGAGGACTTACTGTATCTACTGAACCCTCCCCCCAATACTGGTCAGAGGACTTAACTGTATCTACTGAACCCCTCCCCCAATACTGTCAGAGGACTTACTGTATCTACTGAACCCTCCCCCAATACTGTCAGAGGACTTACTGTATCTACTGAACCCTCCCCCATACTGTCAGAGGACTTACTGTATCTACTGAACCCTCCCCCAATACTGTCAGAGGACTTACTGTATCTACTGAACCCATCCCCCAAATACTGTCAGAGGACTTACTGTATCTAACTGAACCCTCCCCCAATACTGTCAGAGGACTTTACACTGTATCTACTGAACCCTCCCCCCATACTGTCAGAGGACTTACCGTTTCTACTGAACCCTCCCCCAAAACTGTCAGAGGACTTACCGTATCTACTGAACCCTCCCCCATACTGTCAGAGGACTTACTGTATCTACTGAACCCTCCCCCCATACTGTCAGAGGACTTACTGTATCTACTGAAACCCTCCCCCAATACTGTCAGAGGACACTCCAATGTATTTGTCTTTGTTCTTCTTTGCCTTCTTCCTCTCCTCTCTCAGTCTATCATCATCCTGGATCAGATCCACCATCTCCTTCACCTTCTGACGCACGTTCACTCCCTGGTCCTTACCGTTCTCATCTACACAGAGGTAGAGGAAAGAAGAGAGAGAGGAGATGAAGGTTATTGACAAGCTGTTAGGATTATGCCTCAATACAGCTGTTGTTGCTTTTGGTAAGAAACAAAGCTACAGGTTATCTGCAGTTGTTCCATTCCCCTATAAACAGATATGCCTTTTCAATGTGTTGGAAGGTGATCAGTGTATTCAGAACGTCAGGTGGGAGAACATGTTTTGAGGAGACAAAATGCAGAAGTGTCCACAGTAGTGTGTGAATAAAAAAATGGTTGTACAGTGGTTGTGGTGGTGAGGGGAGTGATTTACCTTTTCACTTTGTCTGCTTTGGAGCATAGCAGTGTGTGGTGTAGCTGGTTGTGGTTTAAGCAGTGCTTTGGGCTCCATCTCTTCCTGAATGCTACAACACTGACTGAACACTGGCCCCTTTGTCTGGTTCTAAACTAACATTTCATTACAAACTCTCACACTGGTGTACAGAGGTGTACCGAGGACAGACAACAAACCTTAACAGTTAACATGGATTCTACACTACAGTCAAGAGAGAGAGACAGCCATTGAATCAGAATTCCATTTCTATAGAGACAGCAGCCAGAGAGTCAGCCAGAGAGAGTACTTGCCTACGAAGTGGTAGCTCTCTAGAGATCGTAGGTCGTAGATGTGTTCTCTGGCGCTGGTGACAACTCTCTCTGAACCGTTCCTGATGAGGTGGGACAACAACAGCATAGACTGGGGGAGAAGAGATGGAAAACTATTGTCATAACTTCTTATGATGGCCCCTCGATGTCATGGTCATACCTCTGAACCGTTTCTGGTGATGTGGTGCAACAACAGAGACTGGGAGAGCAGACCTCGGCCCTCGAGGTCAGGAGTTGAATAGCCATGGCTTATGTCTTGGTTATAAACAGAAAGAAAGTCACACACTGTATGCTCCAACCTAACCAAGGTTTACCCATTCAGTTGTTGGGAAACATACACTGAGTACAAAACATTAGCAACACCTGCTCTTTCCATGACAGACTGACCAGGTGAATCCAGGTGAAAGCTATGATCCCTTATTGATGTCACCTGTTAAATCCACTTCAAATCAGTGTAGATGAAGGAGAAGAGACAGGTTAATGAAGGATTTTTAAGCCTTGAGACAATTGAGACATGGATTGTGTATGTGTGCCATTCAGAGGGTGAATGGGCAAGACAAAAGATTTAAGTGCCTTTGAACGGGCTATGGTAGTTGGTGCCAGGCGCACCGGTTTGAGTGTGTCAAGAACTGCAACGCTGCTGGGTTTTTCACACTCAACAGTTTCGTGTATGTATCAAGAATGGTCCACCACCCAAAGGACATCCAACCAACTTGACACAACTGTGGGAAGCATTGGAGTCTAAATGGGCCGGCATCCCTGTGGAACGCTTTTGACACCTTGTTGAGTCCATGCCCCAACGAATTGAGGCTGTTCTGAGGGCAAAGGGGGAAGGGGGTGTAACTCAATATT